TTGGAGATGGGCAGGAATTTGTGTGAAGAGGTCGTTCTGATGCCTGGCACTGTGAACACTGTCAGCTGAGCAGGGCGAAGTGCCTGTTGCCCTGTAGGAGGGATTGAGCAGGACAGGCTGCCTGCGTGCCGAGTCCACACACACAGCACCCTGACCTGCTTCAGTCACCACTGTTTTAGGGAGACAGAGGGACCCATATCACATTGGCCCAAACCATTGTGCAAAGTGTACAAAAGATGCTGGTGTGTCAAATCTTAAATGACCGATTTCCTAATTTGTTTAGCTATATCCCTTATATTTTCCATTTTTAGCAGTTTTGTTGAGACACTTCACACAACTTACCATCCATGGTTTATAGTGTATTCACCATGGAAATGTTAGACCATATCCTCTCCTACCCCAAGCCCAAGTCTCTGAGCCCTAAACAACCTTCTTTCTCTACCTGTGACTCTAGATTGCCCTGCTCTGAACTTCCAAGTGAAGGGAATCATATGGTGTGTTGCCTGGTGCCTGGCTCCTTTCAGTTAGTGTAGTGTTTTCAAGATTCAGTCCTGTCACATGTCAGTACTCCGTCCCCCCCTTTTTTTTTGGTGGTACTGGGATTTTGATCTTGGCCTCATCTTGGCTAGGCAGGCACTCTAGCACTCGAGCCACACCTCCAGCCTGCCATTCTCCTTTTTTTGGACCAAATAGTATTTCATGGTACTCATGCAGCACATTTTCTTCATCCAGTCATCTGTGATGGACAGTTGGGTTGCTGCCACCTTCTAGTTGTTGTGAATAGGGCTGCTGTTGATACTTGTACACAAGTATGCTTTGATTCCTCTGGGGTGCGTACCTAGGAGTGGCATTGTTGGATCGTGTGGTGACTTCACTTTTAACAGTTGAGGGACTGCCAGACAGACAGTGCTATTTTCTGTTCCCCCAGCACTGTGTGAGAGTTCTAGTTTGCATCCGACTTTGTGAGGTAGAATCTCTTAAGGTTTGGATTTGCATTTTCCTGACAATTCATGTGCTGAGCGACCATTTTTGTATCTTATTTGGAGAAATGTCTGTTTAGATCCTTTGCTCATTTTTTGCTGGATTGTCTTTATTACTGAGTTGTAGGCATTCATTATACACCCTAGGTACAAGTCCCTTCTCAGATATGTGACTTGTAAGTATTTTCTCCCATGGGAGACTTTGAATTGTATATCTGATAGGGGACTTGTCATTTCACTTTCTTGATAGTGTCCTTAACAGCATGTAAGGTTATGTGTGTTTTGATTTTCGGTGACTCTGGGGATTGAACTCAGGCCTCATGCTTGCTAGTGCTCCTCCTGCCTCTGCCTCCTGATTAGCTGGGATTGCAGGCATGTACTACCATACTTAGCTTAGCATATAAGTTTTTTTTTTTTTTTAATTTCTTTTATTCATATGTGCATACAATGTTTGGGTCATTTCTTCTCCCTTCCCCCTGCCCCCAGCATGTAAGTTTTTAATAAAGTTCAATTTACCTCTTTGTTTTTTCAAGTATTTTTGTTGAGCTTTTAATTTTGGGATATATGTGACCAAAGTGTTTTTGTAAGTGTGTGGTCCTGCCCTTGTCCTGTTTTTTCTTTTCTTTCATTGCTAGTAGTTTAGGAGCCATATCTGAGAATCCTTTGTCATGAAGATTTATTGCTGTTTTCTTCTAAGACAAACACTTTTCTACTCTTTCCTTTACTGGGAAAGCACCTTGTCAGGGATCTAATGTGTGATTCCCTCATGAGATCCTCTTGATCTGTTTCCTTTATGGATATGACATGGATAAAAAGGAATGACCCCATGTAGCCCAAGCTGAAAATGAATGTCTATAATTTAGTTTCAGGACAAAACCATCGCAGGCCAGTTCTTTCCCTGTGGTCTAGGCAGGATCCAAGTGGCCCATCCTGTACCTTCTGTCTTTTTACCTCCTACTGCTCCTGGCTGTGGACACATTTAGGCCAGGAGAACTGAGGAAGGTTGGGCCCAGAATGCTGTGGAGGCTGTGCTCCCAGTTCCCCTGCTCGGTGGGCCGGTGGGAGCTGTGGGTGCTGGGAGGTCGCTGGTGTTTTTGTTTTTCAAATTCTTATCATCTTACTTCAGAGCATATTAAACACACACACACACACGCACACGCACACGCACACGCGCACCACACACACACACACACACACACACACACGCTTTCCCTCCCTGTCTCTCTCCCCATGCACCACCGACCCACCCCTGCCTATCTCACCTACCCCAGCACCACAGTGAAATGCAGCATAAGTTGGTGCTCAGAGCCCTGGTGTCCCTCTTTGCTCTGGATATTTGAGACAAAGTTGAATATTGGTGACTTGAAATCACTGATCACTGATAATCACCTGGCATATTATAATTCTATATGCAAGGTTGTGTACAAAATAGCGCTTGATGAGTTGATTGCTTTCTAACTTTCTGTCAAGTGAGGTGGCCAGGCCTCCAGGTTGCTGGGGCTGTGGCCTGTCATCAACCCCCTCCCTGTGGCCCCGAGCAGCGCTGTGCTCCTTGATGAAGCCTGGAGGGACCTTGGCATGGCCCTGCTCCTTTAGTTCCAATTAACAGGGCTCTTTGGAAACCCTGTCCTCTCCTTTAGGAGATGATCCCCATGTACCTGGCCACCTCCCCCATCCTGTCTGAAGGAATGTCGAGAATGGAGAACCAGCTGAAAAGGAACTCAGTAGATAGAATGAGGAGCCTGGACCCCAACACGCCCACCCAGGGTTTGCCTCCCAGTGAGACCTCATCCACTGGCTCACTTGTGAAGAAGAGAAGGAAGAGGAGGAGGAAGTCCCAGCTGGACAGCCTGAAAAGAGATGACAACAGCAACACGTCTGAGGACGAGGACATGTTTCCCATAGAGATGAGTTCCGACGAGGACACAGGGCCCCTGGATAGCAGCAGGTAAGCGTTGGGGGACAGCAGTTCTGTGCTGGCATTGGATGGATGAACTTTTTAAGCTGACTTTCATAAGCTCATTTGTTTTTTTCCCTTAAAATTTCTTATTCTGTTGGGCATTTTAGATTGGGTTTTGGAGTGAGGTGGACCCAGTCTTAGAGTGGAGTAAAGATTCTGTGCAGCTTCTAATGGCAGTTGTCAGTGTCACCCTCTTGGGGCTGACACTTCCACTATCAGGGTAAACCAAGCACAGGAATCGAGCAAATGAGTAGTTCATGAGCAAAATCATTTCCACAGAGCCTGTTTATTTAGTTATTGGTGCTGGGACCCAACCCAGGGCATTTTGCACGCTAAGCAGTTGCTCTGTCACTGAGCTACACCCCCAGCCCAGAATCTATTCATTCTTATTTCAGCACCAGCTGTGCTAACATAAGCACCAACTGTATTGCTGTTTTGGTGAAAAATACCAGTTTTAAAAACTCATTTCAGAGGATATTTGCTGTTTCAGGTTCTTTTGTAATTCTGTGTGATTTCTGACAATTGTTTTCCTTTTTTAAAAAATTTTTTTTAAGTCTTTTTAAAATTATTGTTGTACTGGGGGTACATTGTGATATTTGCAAAGTTCTTACAATATATCGTAGTTGAATTTACCCCTTTCATCTCCCTTTGCCCCCTCCCTCCATTCCTGGAATTGTTTCAACAGGTCTCATTTTTTCATTTTCATATAGTACTATATATTTCCACCGTATTCATCCTCCTGTACCTTTTCCTTAATCCTCCCCCCTCCCATGGTGCCAACCCCCAGACAGGACCTGTTTTGTCTCCCTGTTTTCTATTTTTGAAAAAAAAACAACCAAAACATTTTTATGTGTTTAAGATACAGGGAGTTTCCTTGTGACATATCCATATATATATGTATTATAACCCGAATTGGTTCATCTCCTCCTTTTTACTTTAATGTCCTTCTTTTGGTGGTTTTAATGGGTTTAAAAACACTATATTCCTTCTTGTGTCGAAAGTACATCAACCATATTCACCTGACAATTGCTTTCATATATTGTGACTAAGAGAAGGAATAAGGAATATCAGGAAGTATTCCCTGCTTCATTCTTCAGAATTTAATATATTTTTTTTCCTGCCTGAACACAGAGGTAGATTGGCCACATTGCTGCTCCTGACTCCAGCCTCTGATCTGCTGTGGCTGTAGAAGCTGGGGGCCAGCCTTTTTGTAATCACTTTCCTGGCACAGCTGTTAGTGGCAAACTTGCCCACAGGTATTTCAGGCAGCGTCAGCAGTGCAGGCTGATGGCCTCTGCAGGAGTGGAATGGAGAGTCACGTTTTGTAATGTGTATGCTTACATCTGAAGCTTGGTAGTTTTGCAGTCACTTTGTAGTCAAGAGATACATTTGGTTCATGTCATTTATTTTGCCACACAAAACATGATCTGTGTATGGTTATTCATTTGTTGGGCAAATCCACCTGTGCATGGCAAGGGTTCTTTCACACCCTGGGTCCTGTTTTGCACTGATGTACGTTTCAGGCTCTTGTGAGGTGAGACGTGAAAGGTGACAGTAAGATGCGGTAATGGAAGTTGAGCATGGTGGTAGACACCTGTAATCCCAGCACTTAGAAGGCTGAGGCAGGAGAATTGTGAGTTCAGGCCAGCCTGGACAACTAAGCTATTATTATTATTATTGTTGTTATTGTTACTATTATTAGCTATTATTTAACTGTCTCAAAATAAAATAAAAAGGGCTAGGAGTGTAGCCGGTGGTAGAGCTCTCGTCTAGCTGAGTTCAATCCCCAGCACTGTAAGAAACCTAAACCCAAAACCAAAACGAAAACCCAACAAAGCTACAATGGGACTAGAATGGTGCGAACATTGTACACACGTATAAGTCCAAGCCCTTCAACGAAACAATTTTAAGCTTACAATTCTGCCAAGGCATAAATGTGAGCACATTTCCGTGGGCCTCCATTTCCGTGGGCCTCCATTTCCGTTTTCTCACCTCTGCTGCCTGGAATGTCCCTGAGTGTAGAAGAGGCAATGTTAGGAAACGGCATCGAGCGAGACAGCTTGAGTGAGTTCATTGTGATCCTGTCACTGCTCATTCTTTGACTCTAATCTTTTTCCTCCAGAACTCTTAGCAATGACACGCTGCCACTCCAAGATGATACTCCGAAGGAAAACCTCCCATCTGTGTCACCATACCCCCAGTCAGCATCGTACCCCAATTCGGATAGAGAGTGGTCCCCCAGCCCCAGGTGAGTTGCTGGTGTGTATGTGTCACAGTTCACCTGTCATGGTCCAGAGGGCTAGAAGGCAGGTGCAGGAAGCATGGCTAAGATAATAGTGAAATAGAAGTAAAAGGGAGAAACTAACACACAGTAGGAGGTCCAGATTAGATTAAAGCCAGATCATGCCGACCACAGATTTGCGTCTTAGCTCTCTGGGGCTAGGACTGAAGGGAAATGCTCCTTCAGTTACTGACCCTCATGGTCAGCAGACCACAGTGGCGGAGCCCTTAGCCCTAAAGTAAGGTTCAAATGTGAAGACACTGCTACAGGGCCACTGAGGTCACTTAGGGCTGCCCCCGTGCGGGATCCACGCTGCTGAATTCAAGAACCAGCATTCCCCTGAAATGACCTTGCCATTGTGTGGAGTTCCAGTGTCACTTAGAGCCAGAGCTGCACGGTGTGCAGTTGCCTTCCTGAAGAACCCAGAGGCTGTGCGGTCAGGGAAGCCCATGAGAATGTGTGCTTCTTCACAGTGCTCCCCCAGGGCAGGGCAGGATGGGGCCTAAAGTGTGTGTTCTCAGAAGGGGTGTCACCCCTGCTGGGGTGAAGACTGGCTCTTGAGTGGCAGACAAATCCTAGAGGTTTGTGACCTCAAAAGGGCCACAGCACTAAAATGTCCTGGTGAGGGGGTGCCAGGGGTGCTCCATTGATTTTTTAAAATGCTCCGAGGTGTGGAGCTCAAGAGAGGTTGAAGCCAGGTGAGGTGGATCTAGAGGTTGAAACCTAGATGCTCAGGAGGGGGAGATCAGGGAGATTAATTTGAGGCCAGCCGGGCATAAAGTTCTTGAGAACCCCCAATCTTAACCAGTGCCATGTGGTGGAATGTGCCTGTCACCCCCAGCTACTTGGTGAAACACAAATGGGAGGATCACGGTCCAAGCCAGCCCAGGCATAAAGCAAGACCCTATCTCAAAAATAACCAACACAAGCCGGGTGCTGGTGGCTTACACCTGTAATCCTAGCTGATCAGGAGGATCGTGGTTCAAAGCCAGCATGGGGAAATAGTTCACAGGACCTTATCTCTAAAAAATCCTTCACAAAAAAGGGCTAGTGGAGTGGCTCAAATGGTAGAGTACCTGCCTAGCAAGTGCAAGGCCCTGAGTTCAAACCCCAGTACCTTGGGGAAAAAAAACTAAAAAATGAACAACAACAAAAAAAACAGTGTCTGAGCTCCAGAAGCTCTGGCATGGCTGTGATGGGTTCCCTGTAGCCAACCTCATCAGAACACCCCTCCTGGCTCCAGCGTGCTCTGGGTAGTCTTTAGAAAGACAGCAGCAGTCAGCAGTGGGGGCTGAAATAGGCTGGGAGAAAACAGGTCTGTTCCAGCCGAGACTGAGAGTGAATGTGTCCTCCAGGATGAGTCTGGGGCCAGTGAAGGAGTCCCTGCATTGAGGTCTGCTTGCCACAGGCTGGCCCGTGCAGTAGGGTACAATTCTTAGCTGCATATGTACTTTAAAATTTTCTGTTAATCACATTTAAAAGGCTAAACAAAGATAGGTGAAATCAACTTTAAAGGTAGGCCAGTATGTGCAAAATATCATTTCAACAAGTAATAATTTAAAAATATTATTGATGACCTATTAGAATTCTTGTTTTTATGCTAAGCCTTTTTTTTTTTTTTTTTAATGGAGCTGGAGCTGGGGTTTGAACTCAGAACTCAGATCTTCACTTTGGCAAAGCAGGCATTCTGTCCCTTGAGCCACACCACGAGTCCATTTTGCTCTGGTTATTTTGGAGCTAGGGTCTTGAAAATTATTTTCCTAGGCTGGCCTCAAACAGCCGTTCTCCCGATTTCAGCCTCCCAAGAAGCTAGGATTACAGGTGTGAGCCACCAGTACTTGACTCACATTAAGTCTGTAAAATCCGCTGTATATTCTACATGTGCCACTCACCTCCTTGGACTGGGTACACTTCAACCTGCTCAGCACACAGGGCCTGTGGCTCCTTGTACAGAACAGTACAGATCTCAGATTGTTCTGGAGCCTGTGTGTGCTTGACTTTGGTCTGTGGAGATAGTCCCTACAAGGAGAAAACAAAGTTTAGAAAGAAAAGAAGAAGATTTAGGAACCACTAATAGTTTGAAAACGCCATCCATTAATCTTAAGGTTTAAAAGAAATGTTTTAAGTGCGACTCTGAGTTTGTCGTCCTGTCTTTCACATTTTGAATCCAGAATCGCTAGATATGACCATTGTCAGGTAGAATTACAATTTAGGAAAACTAGGTACATCTTTATATTAGAGTGATATATTTTCCTGAAAGAGACAATTGGCAGGCCGGATAATGTTGATGCCAATTGGACATGTTGGTGGCATAGAGCCCTTTGGCTGTCAGACGCCTAAGTATTTTCATTTTCTTACAAACCGTTACTGAGAGCAGCTGAAGGAAATGTCATTTGATTGACTCTGATCTTCTCTTTCTTTTCAACGTATATCCCGTGGACTATCCTGCAGCCCGATAGATTGCCAAAGGACTCCCCCTCATCTTGCAGTTGTGGCCGAGGGCGGCCTGTCTAGTTCTTGCCCTTCACACTCCTCCCACTTCCATGCCTCCGAAAGGTAGATGAGTTCTTTTCCCCATTTTGGATGTATTCAATAACAAAACTTTTGAACTAACTCTTATAAATCTATTTTACCGTTAACCAAATGACTTAGGTAGAAAAGAGCTATAGATGATATGAAGTAAGAATTTTGATCTAACACAAATCTATCATACTAACCGACTGACTTCTGAAGATAGTATGTATTATTCCTTTAAATGAAAATTTAAATGAAAGGACTCTTACTTTCTTTCATTTAAAGCATTTGTAGATTATTAGATTTGACTCTGGAAATTACAGTTAAGCATGTCATTCTGCCTGAGTCTGTGGACTGCTTTGGAAACTGGCATAATAAAATGTGCACACGGGGGCTGTGATCTTTTGTTTGACCAGTAAGTCTACAAGATATTTTTAGGTGCCTCTTGAGTATAAGTCAAGTTACTTATTGTAAATATTTAAGTAGCCTATCAGGCTGTCCGAATAGTGGATTCAGCATTTCCCACAGTGTTTCTGCATCCATCCTTACACATGGTGCGGGGTGGGTGTTAGGCCCCAGGCTTGTGTTTTCATTGGATGTAGTTGTCTGAGACTTCTGCCTGCCCTCCCTCAGTGTTGTCAACACTGGGATCTACTTTGCCGACTCACATGGTTTACGTTAGAAATTTCCTTAGCAAATGAGGCTATGATTGATTTCTCCCTGGAAACGTTTTCTTTTTGATGAAAGAACCAAACCTCAGGATGTCCTTCATGCAGGGGATACCCATGCAAGAGAAAGGCCATTCTCAAAAGAGGTAAAGTTATGAACGGTTACAAGTGACATGCTTAACTAGGACTGGCAACAGTACCGAAAACCATGGTAAGGCTAACAAATGCCCTATTTATTAGAGCCAGTCAGCAGCCTTATAATCTTTCTTTTATGAACACCCCTTGTTCTTAAAAGTACAGTATTTGACAGTGGGTCATTCTGGAATCTGTTTTGGGTAAATCACACTCAGCATCAGCATGTCTTCTCCCCAGTCCTGCCTCAGTCGGCCTGACTCCCCTCAAGTGCCCATGGCAGGACAGGCACATACATTTGGGCACAGTCTTTCTGCTATGGCCCAAGGGACAGCATTTCTCCTTGGTGGCAGTTTGAGGAGAGAAGAGGGGCTTGTAGCTTACAACCTTCACGCAGCCCTTGCTTCATTCTGAATACAGGCTTACAAACCCGAATGCCTCAGTGGAATCCCTCTGGCTTGTGGCTTTCATGGAAGGACTAGAACGTTGGGGACCCTGGGGCAGGGAGGTACTCTAGAGAACCAAGATCAGCATTTTCATTCTTCTAGAACAGGGGTCAACAAACCTCAGCCTGAGCTCTGTCTGGCCACTGCCTGTTTATAAGCACAGCCAGGCCCCTTGCACATTGGCTGGGGCTACTTTTGTGCTGAATGGGCAGAACCGAGCAATTGTGACAGAGATCGTGTGACTCACAGAGCCACTGTCACTGAGCCCTCGGTAGAAACAGTTTGCTGACTCCTGCTGCAGAGCAAGCCCACTCTAAAGGGTGTCATTGAGTTTAGTGGTGGTGGGTAAGGCAATTTATTGTTTTCTGGAATAGAGAACAAAGTGTGAGTAAGTTTTATGTGACCAGCAGAATGATAACACACACTGACAGTGGGTGCAGCAGGGCAGGGCCGGAAGTCCTGGGGACTCTGCAGAAGGGTGGGGTTAGGTCGTAGTGTGAGGTCCTTAGGCTTCTCTCTGGAGGCCATAGCACTCCCTTTTCCCACTTCACTGCCATTGATCTCGTGACTGTGACTGTGGTGCTGCCTCTTTGGAGAATAGCAGTCATAGAAGGAGAGGGAGGCAGGAGCCAAGCAGGCAATGATCCTTCTACCCAGGCCTGTGGAGGGTCCAGTGAGGGTTCCTTTCCTGGTGAATCCTTCCTGCAGGGCCGAAAAGTGCGTGCATCATGCGTGCATGCGCGCGCGCGTGTGTGTGTGTGTGTGTGTGTGTGTATCTCAGGAGGCTCCTTGCCACAGACAGGTGGGCTGGCACATGAAGGCTGCCCTGTAGCAGTGTGTCTGGATTAGAAGGATTGGAGGTCAGTGGGCCTGGCCTGTGAGCCCCTCAGTGTGAAGTGAGGGGAGGCATGTTCAGTTTGGCTTGACGAGAGTCAGGGCCCGTTCAGCCAGGAGGGAATGTCTTGGATGATGCAAGTCATGTACCATCGTGAGCTCTCCTTGTGCCCACAGCAAGGCTCTGGTCTTCAGCTGGACTTGAGATGTGTCTGATAAGTGAGGTGTGGCACAGCGGTGAGAGGTCTCCTTAGAGAACAGAGAAGGTGTGGAAGAAAATTGTGGTCTCTCTTTCCTGCTTCGTGAAAAATGCTGCCCTCTTCCCCTTGATGCAGTGATGCAGGAGAATATCGAGAATCCAAAGAGAAGACATTTTCTTCCCCTAGGTGTTGTTGAGTGCCCAGTAGGAATCCTGTACCTCCAGTTGATTCTTTTGGCCACTTAGTTTGGTTGGACAGAAGGAATACTTTGTTCAGGTGTTAGGAGTGAAAATACAGAGCACAGAGGTACGAGCGTGTTGTGACTACTTAGAAGCTGGCCTGAGAGTGGCACAGTATGACAGTCACCCCAGAAGGAACCTTAGCAAGTGGTGTCTTTGAAGGATTCCTGGAAGATAGTTTATAAAATGTCAGCTTCCTCTACAACATCAGGTTTATTTATGGAAAAGTTGGTACATGAAACGATTTCCCTGCTGTCAGAGCCAGTGCAGGTTTGTGCATATTTTAAGCATACAGTCTCAGAGGTGGCCAGGATCCCTGCAGCTGGCTGAGTTTAGATGCTTCATGTGGAAGTTATGTAGGCAGGAGAGTCGATGATGGGGAGGTGTGGAAAACAGTGGCTTTGACCCAATAACAAACCCTCTTTTTCTTTCTGTGTCTTTTTCATACTGTTTCTTTCCTAGCTGCTGCTATTTCCCATCTTGTCTGCCTTGAATCCAGCAGCAGCTTGCCCAGGGTTACTCACACTGGGAAGGTCTCTCTCCTGGAAGTGGAGGGGTGGGGGGGGGGTTACATGGACCCCTGGTGGTCAGAGGTGGGATTGTCACAAAGCTGTGCTCAGAAGGGAATGAGAACTTCAGTGCTTTTTTTCTGGATTATTTGAACCAGAAAATTCCCCATCTGGAACAAAGACAATTCTTTTCTCACATAAATTATGTATTTGTGTTTTCTTAAGTCCTTCAGGGTCCCGCCCGTCAACACCAAAAAGTGATTCAGAGTTGGTCAGTAAGTCCACGGACAGGCCCATGCAGAAGAACAACCTAGAAATGCTCTGGCTTTGGGGAGAATTGCCACAAGCTGCAAAGGTAAGGCTTTCTTTTTCAGGCCTGCCACACACTGAAGATTTCTAACTTAGCTTGAATTACCTGGAACTAGTGTCAATCATAGCCACAACACAACTAGCAAGAACTCTTAAGTGGCTGGAACTGTAGTGAACACTAGGATTGCTTTTTTGTGCATTTCTAACACTATAAGGGTGCCTCGCTACATTTGTGTATTTAAACATACAGGACTACTCTGCAGGTCTGGACTTTATAGCACAACTGAATGCAAATTAAATAAAAATGAATCAAGTGATGGCACAAACCTTGATGTCTGGAAGTCACAAACAAAACCAGTTTTTCCTTTGGTCAGTGGTGACTGGACAGGTCCCACAGGAACAGAGATATGCCAGTTGAGCCTGTTGAGAGAAAGGCCAAGTGAGCTGTGAGGGCCCGCTCTGCATCTACCTGTGTCTCTCAGAGAGCAATTTCTGGGAGGACAGTAGGGACAGGGAAAGGCTGAGTAGAAATGAGAGATCTGGGTCTCATAAACAAAACCAGGACATTTTAAAGCTTTGATTTCTCAAGGTTTCGGTATTTTTGGACCCTCATTGTTGGTGGGGGCCCTGAACCTGCCCCTGTGGAAAACTCCAGAAGACATAGAGAAGCAGCTGAGCATAGTGGAAGCAAGGAGGGTTTGGGAGGCAAACCGCCCTCGGTGCAAATCCCCACTTCACCAGTTGCTAGCAAGGTGACCTTGGGCAAGTCTGAGGACCTCCCTGAATCTCAGCGTTATTATCTGTAAAATGTGGGAACACGATAGGTAGAGTATTGTTGGGAGGTTAAAAGAGTCAGTGTGTGTGAAGTGTCTGGAACACCTAAGTTCTCTAAATATTCACTTTGTCTCTCCTTGGCTGTGGCAGATATGTGCTGAGCCTCAGTTTCCCTAGCTGCAACATGCAGTGAATTCATAGGCAGCTACTTAATTAGTACAGCACACCAGTTTCTAAAAATGTAGAGTGAATACAAGACATTTTATCTCATGTTCCAATGCATTATAAGCATCTTGGGTTATATTATTACCTTGCCAACTTTTAAAAAACTATTATAAGGTTCTGAGAAGATGACTGCCTCTTGCAGCCCCTGAAATGTCTGTAGCGGGGTTGAGTGAGTGGGTTAGTGAATGAGGTTGAGCATTCCTGTTAAAAGGCAAATGGCAGGTGTTTGAAGTAGGTGTTTTGGGGCTGAGGCCGTGGCTCTGATCCCTGTCTAGGTTGTATTTAGCTTTCGTGGAAAATGCCAAGTTCTCTGCCCACGAATTGCAGTGTTGGCCAGCAATCTTTACAAATTCTTGTCGGTGGCTGCAGAACAGACCATGTGAAAGTACAAACCTGTCACTTCTTCTGACACAAAACAGTGCTAACTGCAAACCTCCTGCAGCATTGCTTTTGCTGTGGTTGACACTGTGAGATCAGACAGAAGTGAACACCTTCCCCTGCCTTGCTAGCCCCCCAAACGATATCACCACTAATCTTTTTCACTCTGTTTTGGGGGTGAACTTTATTGGACCCTAGCACATACGGAGGAATGTGGATCACAAGTGCATAGCCCATGAGCGTTCACCATGTTGAGCGTGCTCCCAGATGGAGAGGCAGGATGTGGTCAGTAGCATGGAGACCGCACTCTTTGCAGTTGCTGTCCACACTGGCCCTCTGCCCCGCAGGGATGAGCTCTATCTTGTTCATGGTAGCAGAGGCTGGCTTTGCAGGAGTCTTCTTGTGGCTGTGACATATTCCTTCTATTACTGCAGAAGTGCCATTGTGACTACGCTTGCTGTTCTATCGAGGGGCAGTGGGACTGTCTGCACTCGTTGGCATTGCTGATCTCGTTCACTCACTTTCATTTGGTAGCTGGTGTTTTGTATGAAAGTTCATTTCCTTTGGAACTAATATTCTGGGTTTCTGGACCTCTGGGTAGCTGTGGAAATCACCAGCTGATTTCTGAGATGGAAAAGTCTCTGCCTCCGGCAGTCAGTTGGCCACTGTCTTTGATAACTCAGTTTTTGTCTTTGTGCTGTGACCTTTTTTTAAATCTCTCTCTCTTCTCTCTGTGTTTCTCTCTCCTCTTTGGTCTAGTCATCTTCTCCACACAAGGTGAAAGATTCCAGTCCATTGTGCAGCAGGAAAATTTGTGAGAAAGTTCACTTTCAGGCCATTCACAGTGAATCTTCAGATACGTTTAGTGACCAGTCACCAACATTAGCTGAGGGGCTGCTTGCAGAGCAGAACAAGCCTCAGATGGAAATGCAGTTTTTGAATGAAGAAGACATGGAAGCCTTAGGAGCAGCGGCCCCGCCTTTACCCATGGCCGAAGAGCTCAAGCGCCCCGCTGCCAGCACCACACAGATGGCCACCAAGCTGGACTCTCCGAGGAAAAAGGGTATGGAGCCTGGGACTCCCAGCTCTTTCTTCTCTTCTTGCTCTGGGCAGACTGTGCTTATAACACTGTATGTTATAAGAATGTTAAAGCATTCTTGTTAAAAGGCAAATGGCAGGTGTTTGAAGTAGGTGTTTTGGGGCTGAGGCCATGGCTCTGATCCCTGTCTAGGTTGTATTTAGCTTTCATGGGAAATGCCAAGTTCTCTGCCCATGAGTTGCAGTGCTGGCAAGCAGTCTTTACAAATTCTTGTCAGTGGCACACTACAGTTCCTTCCAAAGTTCAAAATAAATTGAGGAAGACACTGAACTATGACATCTGTCGTGTTTAATCTGTGCTCTTTTGCAGAGCATTCAGGCTGAGTGTCCTTTGTCCTAAATGCTTGGGGTCAGAAGTGTTTCACAGTCTTTCAGATTGTACAATACTTACACAGTTGAGCACGCTTATTGGGTGGGCATCCCTAATCTGAAATTCTCAGATCTCAAGTACCTCCCTGGTTGCATGTTGGTTGTGATGAGCTTGAGGTCTGTGCAGCCCCCTAGAGTTAATGAGTCAGTCAGTGACACATTCCTCAGCCAGAATTAGTCTTAGATCATGGTGTGCAGTGACGTGTACAAGTTAGGATGCTGTTCCTTGGAGTATCAATGGGAAAGTTTATTTCTTTTTAATGGTACTGGAGCTTGAACTCAGGGCCTCCCCACTGGCTAAGCATCCCAGTCTTTTTGTGCTTTAGTTTTTCAGAAAGGGTCTCCTGTTAACTTTGCCTGGGTTGGCCAAGGACCACGATCCTCTTACCTACACCTCCCAAGTATCTTAGATTACAGGTGTGCCTCCCCCCACGTGGCCAATGGGGACATCTTAAAATGAAAGTATTTACCATTCAATAATAATAATAATGAGAGTGGTAATGGGTTTAGTATCAAGGGCTTTAGAATCAGACCCTTCCAGGTGAGGGACTGGGGCTGAGCAGTGGGATGTGGACAGTGGACAATCCAGACCGTGTGGTGGTGAGGTCTGGAATCTGTCTGCCAGCTCAGGCAGTCTGGCTGTGCAGTGAGACTGTTTACGCCCGCTTTGTGTTTCTTGGGGTCTGTTCTTCCCATTGTGCTCAGGTGCGGGTTCCAGAGATACCTGCCCACCAGGTCGTTTCTAAAGAGTGCTCCTCTGACTGAGTCTGTTTGCTCTTTCAGATAAGCGGAGTAGACATCTTGGTGCTGACGGTGTGTACCTGGATGACCTCACAGACATGGATCCTGAAGTGGCGGCCCTGTATTTCCCCAAAAAGTAAAATTTCTTTTCATTCCTCATATCTTTTTCTGTAATTTGAAGATAGTTTGGGTTAGTAAGTAAGCAGTGGCAGCCAGGGGCTTGCATTTTACCATGAGAAGCCTCTACACTCACCCTTGGCTCTGGGCAGTAACTGTGTGCACATTACCCCGTGTGTGGCATGTGGCTGCCTGTCACTGTCTGGGCAGGAACACGGGCTCGAGGATTTCCCATAATAGAGCCCAAGGCTGGGTTGCAGTTACTTGCCCACAACCCGAATCAGCGGCGGCTGCCTGGCCCTTTTCCCTCTCTGGAGAGATTTTCCTGTGGTCCCTGGAGACCTCGGCCCTCCTGGAATGGAGAGAGCACCAGTGCCCTGGAGGGTAGGATCCAAGAGCAGCGGCCTCACAGGTGGGCACGTGGATTTGGGGAGGGTTCAAGGAGAATTCAGCCAGCCCCAAACAATTGCTTTTTCTTCCAAGGTAACTCATTTCACTTGTCTGTCTCTGTCTGGTGCTTTACTGGCAAACCTGTCCTGAGGTGACATCATTTGTGCCTCTGAGGGGTGGCAGCCTGCCAGGGGGGTCATTTGATGTCCACTTAGGACCCGAGAGAAGGAAAGTCCTCCAAACAGCACCTGTTTCCTCCCTCTAGTGGAGATCCTTCTGGGCTCACCAAACATACCAGTGACAACGGAGCCCGGTCAGCCAACCAGTCCCCACAGTCCGTGGGCAGCTCAGGCATCGACAGCGGTGTGGAAAGTATCTCTGATGGCCTGAGGGACCTGCCATCCATTGCCATCTCCCTCTGTGGGGGGCTCAGCGACCACCGAGAGATCACCAAAGGTACTGAGGCAGTGTGTGAGGGTGCCCTCTAGTGGCCGCTGGCCAGAAGGCCCTGGAGCCAAGGTTCCTACTGAGATTGCTAATGCTTTCACACTCCACTTGTCTGGTTGCAGTCAGCTGACCTCAGAGTTCTTTTGCTTACATAGGCTTAGGGCAATAAGGAGGCACTCCCTGAACCAGCTGGAGACATGGGGAGGCCAGGGACGCATTGGCACCCCTTCCGTGGTACACAGTGGGGCAGGGATGGCAGCACCAGGGAACAGGTGTGTCGTTCTTTCCGTGTTGCCTCATGGGAGTGGGAGCTATGAGTGTCCTAGCTGGACAGTCGCAATCAGGAAAGGGGCTGGGGACTCCTCAGTGGTGTAGCGCTTGCCTAACACATGCAAGGACCCAAGTTCCATTCCTAGGAAACAAAACAGTTGTAACCAGGAGCTCCAAGGGGGAGAACCTCATGGTGTCCATTAGGATTTGGAAGGTACACATGGAGGCTGGTATGGGTTGACGTTGTGACCAAGGGACATTTTTCTACTGGATAGCAATGACTGTCTGGTGTCTGCTGGATCTTGGTTTTGTTCATGATAAATAGGACCTAGCAGGGTATGGACTGGGACCAGAGAGAAGACAGAGCCCCAGTCGAGACCCAAGTCACTGTCCAGCTGAACGGGAAGGTGAGGAAGTCAGGGCCAGAGTCCAGAGTCCCGTACAGACTCTCAGGTCTAGGGCTGAGGTCCTGGCTTCCTGATCCTGCAGCCTTCTGGCTGGCCCTGAGCCTGGAGGGGTTGCTTTTTCGTTGAGAATGGGTACAGTCAGCACTGGGGCCTCATACTGTCCCCCATGCTCCCCACAGGTGACAGTAATCGGTGTCACAGCTGCTAACATTGATCAAGCCCTTACTTTGGACAGGATGCTATAATTTTTATTCATGACCTTATCCATCCTCTTGAACCCCCCCCCGCCCTCCCTAGGAAATGGGTGTGGCCATCATGCCCAGGTTGAGGTGGGAGCTGAGGCTTGGGAATCAAAGGTGACTTAAGTTAAGGTACCCTGGCTGAGAGCTGCAGAGCCACTGCTCTGCTTCCATGGATGTGTATACATGTCTCCCGTGTGCACACATGGACACCCTAGCTACGGGCATAGTCCTCCGAACTGCAGGTTTGGCTCCAGTCTTTGATTTCTGCACGTACTGCTCCCACAAACGAGCTGAGACTGTCAAATCATAGCTGGAAGACGTAAGCTCCCAGAAAATACTTACGAAATGAGCAAGTGAAAACTAGGCCTGCTTTTAACCACGTTTCCTGTTTGTTTTTTCTTTATCCTCTATAATTGCTTTCACAGATGCGTTTTTGGAACAAGCAGTGTCATATCAGCAGTTTGCAGACAACCCTGCTATCATCGATGACCCCAATCTTGTGGTGAAGATTGGGAATAAGTAAGTGCCTGCTCAAAGTCATTTTGGCATGACGCTGCTTCTATTTCATTGTTTTTTTTTAAATATAGAGATCTAGATGTTCAAACTGAGAAATACATAGCAGGAAATCTTTGTTAAAGTTTACTTATCATCTCTTGGCCGTTGAGAACTCTATCTTCCTGTGTAGTGGACGCAGTGAGGTCACTGTCGGTCTTGCAGATTGTAATATGCAATCTGTAAGGTGCAGTGCTTAGTCTGTGGGCCTTAGGCCCTGTCCAGACCCCTAGTGTAACAGCACAGTCACCCTGTTGAGGTCTCTGCGGTCTGTTGGCAATCTTTCTTCCCTGAGTGGAAGTTGAGGATGTTTTGCTGAGTTGCCCTTTCCTTAAAGGTGGCAGAAAATGCCACAGATATGTTGGGGGCTCTGCACAGACTGCACAGTGGGATTTGGTTGCTGTCTAGCTTGCGACATGTCTAGTTTTTCCCATGGCTGATTGGTCACTGTGTTGTGGGGTTAGCTGGATGAGGGCAGCCACTGCACAGGTGTGGGCTGGGGAGCACTGGGGAGGTAGCAACAATATTGGGCTCTTGAAGGATCACATTGGGCTCCCAGAGCTTTCTGTGATTGTTTGCATGGCATTAGGAGGTGTTCAGTCTGAGCCATGGTCTTCTCATCCATCTTATTGTTTTGTTAGGTATTATAATTGGACGACAGCAGCACCTCTGCTCCTGGCGATGCAGGCCTTCCAGAAACCTTTGCCAAAGGTGAGCTTTGATGTGAGAAAGAAAAAGACCACTAAAAATGAGGGCCGGGTGAATTGGGGCAGTGGGATTTTACCTTTAACTCTAGAAACCACACAGTTAATCTCATGGCATTCTCTTGAAGTTCATGAGTGTACAGGAATTTTTCATCTTCCTCTCCAATGTCAGACACATTCTTCCTCTGTTTACCAGGGCAAAACCCTCCAATCATGGCTGCGTAAACCTATGATCCATTCCTGACACCTTCTGTGCTAGGATCATGGGCAGGGGCAAGGCAGGTGGATGCCAGGGTGTCTGAGCCAAGTGAGGACGAGTGAAGAGAGAGAGAGAGAGAGAGAGAGAGAGAAAGAGAGAATCACTGTCGAAGGGTTCATGTGCAGAGAGGTAGCACTGTTAAGCATTGCTTAGTCAGGAAGCCAGTCCTGAGGCAGAAGTGCTATAGGGTCTGAGCAGCTCTCAGACTCTATGTGAGAATAAGTAAGTGGCTACAAGACAGAATGTTCACCCTCCCAAACAATTCCCTGGACACTCAGTATGGAATTGTTGGGTTTTTCAATGTTATGTGTTCCTGCTAGATTGCACGTTCTTTTCGCTACATAGACCCCATCTTCCGCTTGTCTGTATCCTTCAGACACTTAGCAAGCACCGGGTCCTGCTGAGGCTGCTGTAGCCTGTCACATAACTCTTATTATAGGAGGCTTTGGTTGAGACTCTGCTTGCTTCTGTGAGGTTGTGTGTGTGTGTGTGTGTGTGTTGTAACTTGGGGATTGTGACTTCATCTTGGCTGGCGTTTTTCTGTGAGTATTTGCAGGCTGGGCTGAAGCCTGTTTACAGAGTGGGTTTTGTTCTGTCCTTGTCAGATTTTGTCCTGGCATCCATAGCCTAGGATAATTTTTTATGTTACATTTTTCAGTGCAGGGCTGGTGGAGTCACTCAAGTGGTAGAGCGCCTGTTTAGCAAGCACAAGACCCTCAGTTCAAACCCCAGTATAGACAGCCAAAAACAAAACAAAACAAAACAACAAAAAAACCCCCAAACAACAGTGCAATAGAAATACAGTTAAAAAGTTTAGTTTATAGAAAAAGAAATGCGAATTTATCATTCTTTTCTGTTATTGTTGTTGGGTTTTTCTATCACACCTACAATTGTCTTGCTTCCCTATTTTCAAGACTTGTGAAAATATACCCTGTATTTTCTTTTAGTAATTTCTTTTATGTTGAATTTTTGATCCATGTATAATTCTTTTGAGAGCAAGGAGGGAGATTTAGGAAACTGAAGCAAGTTTTCCATAAGAAAGATTGAATCAGGATACTTTGGATTGCAGAAAGCACAGTGACTAGAAGTGGCTTACCTGCTATGGGTTGATCTCACATGAGAAGAGTCTTAGAGGCTGATCGTCATGGGTTTGATTTGCTTGGCTTTCTGTTGTCATGGTAACTCCTTTACACATTTCCTTATGTAACCATATCTAAAGTGAGACCTGGGGGCAGATTCTTGGTATTTCATTCTGATCACAGAATGGTGGGATGGCCGTGAATGACTCACAGCAGTTGGGGTTCATCCTCTGGAATGCAGCCTGCCTCTCCTGAGCATTTTGCAACTAGATTGATTCTTATTTTATTTTATTTTGGTGACACTAGGGTTTGAACTCAGGGCCTTATGTTTGCTAGGCAGGCTCTCTGCCACTTAAAGCCACACTGCCGGTCCTGCAGGTAGATTCTTGAGTAGAGGTTTGGCTCTGTTGCGAAGAAAGAAGGGGGAGGCTGGTGGGCGATTTGCTGGGTCTGACGGCTTCATAATTATCCCAGTATCATTTATTAAATAATCTTTGCCCCCACTGATTGGCAATTGCAAGTCTGTCATCTTTTTAATTGCTCTATGAATTTACGTTTCTTTCTAAATCTAAATCTAAATTTTAGGTTCCAGTGATGTGTTTACTCATGTGCCAGCACTGCTTTCTCTTAATATAGTTTTAAAATATATTTTAATATCTGAGAGGGATGGGTGCATACTTAATACTTTTATCTGAGAGTTTTCTTAGTTATTTTTGCTTGCTTGTTTTTCAAATGAATTTTAGAATGTGTGTCTAGGTCTGAAAATATAAAGCTGTTAGCTTTTTCTTTTTTCTTTTTTAAGTGGGTATATTTATTTGTTTGTTATATTTATGGGTGCGTTTAGGGGAGAAATTGGTATCTTTACGCACTGTCCTATTCACAAACATTGTGTGTGTGACTCGCATTTTAGTCTACTCAGGTTTTCTTTTTTGTTAGATAAGGACCTTTTAAATGATAAAAAGCAGCACAGTTTAGGCTAAGTGCGTGGATGGTTATCTGTTTACTTGCCTGCTTCCTGTTAGGTTGAACCATCTAAGTCTTGTTTCATTACCAGCTGAGGTGTCAGCTATTTGAAAGCTCTGTAAACTGAGGAAGGGAAACTAAGTAACATTGACGTTGATCCTGGAATCAGCCTTAAGAGAGAGATCGCTCCCTGGAAGTACTTAGAAAGTTATCAGTTCATATTTCATATCCTCCCTCAAACTTTCACTTCTTTAGGTGTCAGTATGAATTTTCTTCTTACTCTTAGAGAATTTAAGTCAAATAGCTGTTTGGGTTCACTTTGTCAAAATTTAGAAATGTACATTTACTAAAAAGTCCTGTGCATTTTGTTTAAAATTGTTTGATTCTGTACCATATTAATCATCTCATGTTTTATTTTGTAATCATCACATTGAGGGCAGCAGTATGTTAGTTAGCCATTTTTAATTTGAAGATTTCTGGTCTTACTAATCACTAATGATTTTTAATGCTGTCTTTTTTGTTGTCGTTGTGTTGTATTTTATTTGTCCTTTGTTTGTTCTTTTAACATCTTCTTAAGTCTTCATGCTTAAGTTACCTTAATGTAATTTTGGACACCATTAGGTTTTGCTTCTCAAAAATTTTTAATTCACAAATAGTATGTTTTTTTCTTTTTTTTCAATCTTTCTTTAATTTGCATGTGTGTTTTTTTTTGGTTCGAATGTGCTTAGTTGATCTTTTTTTGGTTCCATTATTTATGTTACCATCCATTTAAAACAGGCCACTGTGGAATCTATCATGAGAGATAAGATGCCCAAAAAAGGAGGAAGATGGTGGTTTTCCTGGAGAGGAAGAAATACCACAATCAAAGAGGTAAGTGCAAAGTACAGAGCAGTGTCTGTATTAGGCAAATTTTGGTTTTGTGTAGTGATGTTTGTTTCCATTCACCTCTATCAGAAGTAAGCATGAGCCCCAGTACTGAGTTTCCATGAGCCAGCTCTGATACACGGGGTGTGCCATCCCACAGTGTGGGTAGAGTGGAGAAGAAAGGCAGAGGTGAGCACAGTTGCTTACTGCCTGGTTCTGCCTCTTGTTACTGAGTTTGGAAACTGAGGTCCAGTTGCCCAGCTCTGTAAGAAGGGTTTCAACATAATAATTTAATTTGCTAAAAACTTGGATATCTTCCTGCTGCTTTTGAGAACAACACCACAGAGCTATGCTTATGGCGGTAGACTGATTCTCAGTAGTCATTTCACTGAGGTGACACATCTAACTACATGTCTTTGTTTTACATTTCCATGAGTGTCTGTCATTTTTTCAGGTCTTCATCCAGCCCACACCCTGGGTCTTTAGCACTTTATTCCCTGAGCTTCTGGGCCATGTAACTGCCTGGCTTTCCTTTTTTCTTTCTCTCTGCTTCTCCCCTGCCCGGCCCCTCTGAGTGCTTCTTCCCCCACCCTTTTATTTTGGTGGATTTGGGTTTTGAACTCACCACTTCGCACTTACAAAGTAGGTGCTCCACCACTTGAGCTATTCCTCCAGTCCATTTTGCTCTGGTTAGGCTGGCCTTGAACCATGATCCTCCCGATCTCAGCCTCCCAGGTAGCTAGAACTGTAGGCATGAGCTACTGGTGCCCAGCTCCCATTCTGCTTTTACTCCTTCCTTTCCCCTGGCTGTCCACCGAACCCATGCTGATGGTTTATTTCCAAACCAGATACTCCTTCATACTCCACATCCATTTATTGAATAGCCAACTAAGTGGGCTTCACCACACAGGAGCTTGATTCATTTCAGGTTCGTCATTGCTAAGGTTGAACTCAGGGAGTTGGCATCATAGATAGAAATGGCTGATGCTTCCTTTCTTCTTGCTGCCTCCTCCCAGCCCCCTTACTTTACCATCTTAAATAGTTCTCACATCTGTCCATCGCTTTCTGGCTCCTGTCACATATCTAGGCAACCTCTCTCCCTGGGCTGCTTTCACATGACCTATTTGTAGCTCTTTTTGTCTCTTTTTCAATCACTGTTCTATAGTTTGGCCTGTTTAGAGGTAGTCATCTAATTAATGTTGCTTCCTTCTTAAAACATTTTAGTGGTTTCCCAGGACTCTCACAGTGAAAACCGATATCCTTAACACATTCTACAGGATTTGTGCATTCTAGCTGTGCCTCCTTTGCTAGCCTCATCTTCTCCATTCTCTCATGCCTTCCATGCCTTTGCATCACTGATGGAAGTATAGTCTGTCCAGGGCCTTTGCACATGGTACTATCTCTGCCTGGTGTTCTTAGGGCATACTCACCCCCTTTCACTTAATTAACCAGCAGCCCAAGTTACACTTTTTTGGGCAGATTAATTGGTTCTACTATTCTGCCTACAGCTTTTTCATTCATGAATTTTGTCATCGTTTATAATTATACACACTTATTATTAGTGGGACTATTTGACTAGCATTTTTCTTCCCCTCCATAACCTAAACTCCGCCATGAAGGCAGAGACCATATATAGCTCCAACTCCTGAGGTATCCCTGGAGTCCACATTGGGCCTCACGTAAGGGTTTGGTGTATATTTGTTGAGGGAATAATTTTGGAATGCAGTATAAAGAAGCCACAGGTTATTTAAATAGTGAAAGAAACCACTCTGAACTCAATTTGTCTCACAAGTTCAAAGGCAAAAGATCCACTGAAGAGTTTTATCCAGATCTAATTGTTCTTCTACATTTTCTGTTAGCATGTCTGAGTTGTAGTAATTGTTTCATCTCTAAGGGGTATAAACCAGTTAGAGCAAACCTATATGCTTTCCTGTAGGGGACTTAAAACATAAAGGGCTTTTTAGTTGTCTTACTGGAGGGCAGAATGTTCTAGAATTTCTAGGAGAAGTCTACTTGAGAGACAAAGCTCTCTATTAGTAGAGTAGCCATATTCTCACCAGTTAGAACTAAGGGGAATACCAGTGTGAAATAAGGTATATTTATGAAATTAAATGTTTCTTTAAAAAACGAAATATTTTAATTTCAGGAGTTAGAGCTTTCTGAACTAGTTTGATAGAAATTAATTGTTGAGGCCAACCTACACACTTCAATAAATAAATAGATTAAAAATAACTATCATTCTTTGTGTGCTCATAAAGATACTAAAGAGTACTTAAAACTAGTTTGTACTAATAATATGTTAAGACGGTCACCATGTTATATTTGGCTGTTTTCTTTATTAACCTACTACATTGGCGGTCATTAACGTGTTTTCTTATCAAAGGACCACAGAGAAGAGATTTCATTTTATTCTTCATCCTTGATGTGTGTTTCTGGCCTCTTCCACTTTAGCAGAGGTCTATGAGCCTGTGTCTGTGCAGTGGGCTTTGTGTTTTATGCATAATTTGGGGGTCGGTGATCTTACCCCACTTCCCAGGTGAGGAAGCGAGACTGCACGGTTGACTGCCTTGCCCAAGGTTCGTAGGAGATAGAAGTGGGCCTGGGCCTGGGAGCTGTTTTAGAAACACCAGGCTCTCTCTAGTACTCCAGGGAGCATTTCTTACTAAGAATATGTGGTATTGAAGGAGAGAGGACTGCTTCCACATTTTCCCCAAGCAAAATCTGGTGTGAAAATATTTTCAAGCATTTCTATTGGCAGTTATGAGAAAATATTTTGAAAGCCCTCAGAATCCAGGCAGCCCTTGATGAAGCATTTGCATATACCACAGTGATGATGGAGTTTGGTTTGGTGCCATGAGCACTTATGGATAACAGACTCATCTCTGTCACAAATGTTTCTCAGCCTAATCATATATTTCTAAGCAGTGAAGTAACCAGGAGCTGCAAAGCAAATACACTCAGGGCCATCCCCTGGCGTGGGCCACTGAGGAGGAATCTTGCCCTGGGCCTGAGGGGAGCCGGAGGCAGAGCCCAGGCTTTGGCACAAGCCCTTTCTCTTTGCTTCTTCTGTGACCACTTCTGTTCTTCTTCTCTAGGAAAGTAAGCCAGAGGAGTGCCTGGCTGGAAATGCCCAGAGTACTGGAGAGCAGACATTGCAACTCAGCATGGCCCCCAGGTACAGTGGGGTCCTCGGCACATTGCCCAAGGGCGCACACATGCCTGTTGAATGCTGGCATGTTCACCAAACCACTCGGGCCTTGGACCTGAGTTCCAGCCCTGGCTCTGCGGTTCACTCAGTGACCTGAAGTTTAGTTAGTTAGGTTGGTTTTTCCATTAGTAAAATGGAGGCATTTGCTTCTGTAGATAGCTAATTTGCAAGGTAAATGTGAACCCTTAATGAGATCATACGACTAGAGCACCTCCCATAGTCCTGGCAGGTGGTAGCCTTCCCGCTGCGGAGTTGATGGTAGTGATGATGACAATAAATGATAGCCTTGACAATGACATGAAGATCTGTGCTCTTCTGAAGGAAGTTGTATAGGTCAAATGCCTTCGACTCACATTGATACTAAGTATTGGTTTGGATTCCTGTTACCTTGGCATAGGAGAGATTAGGTTTTGATGCTCCAGATTGGTATTGGAGGTGTTCTGTCTTCCAGTTGATCTCTTTGTGTAAGATTTAAGGGTGACTCTACTTTGATTGTGATGATGTTGAGTCATCCCCATTGTAACCCCTTATATAGGTCACCTCACTTCACAGGGTTCCTGTGCTTCAGAGACCCAGGATTGCACTTCTCATTCAGCAGACAGTATGCTAACAGAGTCACTGACAGCCTGATCCATATTGAAATCAGTTTTATGCCTTGGAGCCAGGGCAGTGCTTGCTGCTGTGCATGCGTGTCATCGGTGTGGCCAAATCGTTCCAAACTGATGACAAGGATTCCCCTGTGTGTTGCTAATTTACAGGAGAAACAGGCTTACCATTCACACCCACTGGCTCCTGGCCATAGCTCTGTGCCTTATGCTTTTCTAGAATTCTGTGTTGGGAGTGGAAACCCATGTCAGGGGCAGTCTGCTTTCTTTGCTGTTCTCTGGAGAGGAACAGTGTAGAGAGAGGGCTCAAGACTGGGTGGGATAATTGTTTCTGAGTGCAGCTGTACCTGGGTCAGCCCACTCACAGCTGAATGTTCTCAAAGGGAATCTTCTATTTTTGCTGTTGGTGCCAGGTGGTGACACTTTCACCTGGCTCCTGCTGGTCTCTGCCCTCCTGTGCCCTTGGCTGGGCTTGAGTAGGAAGGTGCACGGGTGTAGGTTTAGTGTTTTGTTCCACTCCTCACCCTCCATCTCTGGCTCCTTCTCTGGGGATAGGCTAGTAAGCACAATTGGTTACTTAGTGAGGAATTTTGAGTTTGACTGAGGCTGAGAATGTTCTGTCCCATGGAGAGATGTGTCAGCAGCCAGGAGAGAAGCCAGTAGATTTTCAGTTTGCTCCTGTTGTAGAAGATGAATGACAACAGCCAACTTCACGATCAGGCGGATGTGATTGGAAATCCTGGCATTGCCACTCAGGGGCCATTTGACGTTAGGCAAAGTACTCAACACAGATGAGAAAAGAGGTACCAGCAGGTGTTGATGCCCAGATGGACCAATAGGAGTCAGTGCAGAAGATGGTGACCCCAAAAGAGGGGACGTGATTATGTAAGAGTTCATGTTCTCAGCAATTAATCCAGAGGCCTAGCTGGAACTCCCTGCATTCCTAGAATTCTTGTCAGGAACCCATGTCCCTGCAATAGTTTCTAGATACCTGGGTAGAGCAGAGTGGGACTTAAGAGTGGGGACATTGTCATTCCGCCTCTGTGTCGCCTTTGGCACATTAATCCACCTGCACGTCTCCATCTGTGACCTAGGGTAAGGTCACACCTGCATCTCTGTCCCATCTCACTGAGTGTTCACAGCACATTCATGAGAAAGGCGATCAGAGTGCACAGAGCCCACTCGGCCACACTGTGGTCACCTGGAGGGCGTGTGTCCAGTCCTCCGTCATGCTGTTCCAGCTGTTTGAAGATGTATTCCGTGGACCGAGTGCTAGTGGCTGCCAAACCCACCCTGCAGAGCACCAGGCTTAGACCTGGGGGACATGGGCCTGTGGCCAGATGAGCTCAGCTGAAAGGCATAGAGTGTGACAACAGAGGGTCGGGACACAGAAGGCGTCATGTCTGGTTAGTGTTGTTAACACTGTTATTTTTGCCCTTGCTGGCTGTGGTGGAGGGGTAGTGAGGCAGTTTTGTAGTTCTTCCTGAGTTGGGCCAATAGCTCAGGTAGTTTATTTGAACTGGGATGGATTTTCTTACTGTCTGATATAGTCGTTTTCAACTGTTGGTGAGAAATGCTTTTCCTGTTACATAGAAATGACTATTCATTGTTCTGAATCAGTCACACTACATTTCTTTTGTTCTTTTCTTTCTTTCTTTTGTTAATGTTTGTTTGGTGGTACTAGGGTTTGCACTCAGAGGCTTGTGCTTGCTAGGCAGGTGCTCTATCACTTGAGCCACACCCCAGCTCCACACTACATTTCTTTTATCAAACCTGAAAAATAAAGAATTGACTTGTGCAATGGGATTGAGATTGTCAAAGTATTAAAGTTCTCTTGAGAAATGTAAATCTTTTAATTTATACTGGCATCTTTGACTTTTAAACTCCTTAGAGTCATGCAAAAGACTTTAAAAAAAGTGTAGGAATGTTTTCCTAATTGACAGACTTGATTGACAGAACAGTCTCTGAAGTCCCATAATTGAGCAAACAGCTTGTCACCATACAAATAATTAAAACGCCATTTGAAAAATGTACGCTGTGACAAGCACTAACTTAGACGTTGTTCACAGCTACTCGTCTGAACACAGATTTTCCAGTGATAGGAGCCCTTTTGTTTTGTGACTGTTTTGCATCTCTGTAAAGCAAGTGACATTTGAGGAGCCACTACAGGAGGGGCTTGGGGGCTCTGAATGGGAGTTTGTTCTGGGCAGGGCAGTGACATTTACAAGGTAGCAGTGCAAACCACCCCCCGACCATTGACGTGCCCTCAGCCGAAAGTGCTAGCAGCCAACTGGGCAACTCCCACTTTAGTTTTGTTATGGGGGTTTTCTTTCCCATGCTCCTTCAAACGTAGCATGCTGCATGAATTTAGTGTTTTTTTTTTTTTCAAAGCAGCAGATGGAAATCGCAACCCCTCTGGCCCTGCCTCCTCATCCTCCAGCAGAGGCACACATCAATCTGTTGTCACCAAGAGCTGCAGTCACATTTGGGTCTCATTTTTCTCTTAAACTCTTTGATTGGAGCATCAACCTTTTCCTGCTTAGTAAGGGCCCTGTATCCTCATCCTCTGCTGCTTACTGAGGCAGTCTTTACCCTGGGTATTTGTCAGCCATCACCAACTCCAGGTCTAGGTCTGCCTGGAAACCTCTAAGTTGTTGGTTCAGAACCAATATTGTTCATCGGATCTGTAGGTGATGGTATGGGAAGGGGCTTGGGGCGAATGCACCGTTTTACAGATGAGCAGATAGGCCTAGAAATGACCTTTCCTGGACCAAGATCTCCCAGTCTACTTCTTCCCAAGCTGTTCCCTGCAGCGTCCTGAAGTTTTGGGTGAGTGGGATGCACTGGGTTCCTCTGCATCTTAAAGAAAGTAGGCCGAAAGAGAAAGTAATGTCCAAGTAATGCCACCTAAGTTACCGTGGGCTTGGAGGCTGAGTTTTTCACATTCTAACTGCTGTGCTGTCTCCACTCTACCTCCCACATGTAACCCAGCTCTGCCTTTTTCCAACCAGAGTTCCAGCCTATGCTGTCCTGTCTTCTTCCATGTAGCTGGCCCAGGGCTTATTCTGCAGGACCAGGTCCCAGAGAGTGCCAAGTCTGTGTCTCCAGCCCAGGTGGCTGGCTGTGGTTGACTTCCTGGTCCCGGGAGAGCAGGGACCAGGCTGCTTGCTGTTTTATCAGTGCCTGATATGGTGCAGATTCTCAGTGGTTATAGTAATTCCAATCTCCCAGTCCAGGTGAGCATCCGCTCGGGCTGCACTTAGGGAGGAGTAGCTTGCTTAGGACCATAAAGAGCCAGACCTTCACCTGGAAGTGCAGGCATCATGTGACAGTGTCCCCCTCACCTCTCTCTGGTATTGGGCAGTACGGGGTTGTAGACTCACTTCTTGAGTGAGTACACATGGGGTGGGAAGGCTTGTGTGAGTGGCTGCATGGGCCGTCCAAGGCAGGCCAGGGGAAATGGAGGCAGTGGGCCAAACGTACAGTAGGGCCCACTGACATAAAGAGAAGACAGAACTCTGTGATCTGAAGTATGCATAAAGCGATGTGAGGGGCTGGGGTGTACCTGCTTTGGGCGCACTTGGCCTTTTCCTTTCAGTGTAAGGCATTATTAAGCTCCTTGGGCACTAAGACTTTTTTAAAGATAGTGGTCCTGGGAGGCAGAGCTTACACTACTGGGTTGGAAATGATGTGATAGTAAGGTTTTAATCCAGGGAACAACTGCTTACTGATCTGCTTTTTGTGACGTATTTAAAGACAATGATAACCACCCTGCACCTCTAACTCTACCAGCTTTACCAGCCAGAGTCTCCGGGTCATTGGCCTGAGGGTTCTGGGCAGATAAAGGTAGTGTCCTTCTTGTTTGTTGGGTGACCAGCTAGGGTTCTGGTAAGGGAATTTGCAAGTCTTTAGTTCGTAGGTCCAGGAAGTGCCCTGACTATTTGGAATCGAGTACTTGGAGAAGTAGAAGCAGGGAAGGGATGATTTGGACTTGTAGCAATTTGGACTCCTAGGGCCTAACCCAACACCTCAGGTGGGAAGAGAAGAAAGGCAGAAAGACAGCATATGTTAGCAGCTTCCTAAGCCACAGGTGTTTAATCTTACTTATCAGAAATAGATGCATACTGGTTAAAAGAGAGTGATGATAGCTGATAAATAGGCAAGTGAATGAGGACAGGCAGCCCCTGCATGAATAATGTAGAACCATATGAATGGGAATGCAGTGAGTTCATTGATAAATCCAATACCATATGGTAAATGACCACCCAAGAGACAGTACTCCAGAGAGACCCCATTGACTGAGTCATTGATTTCTGGGCTAATGCATTTTTAATGGCTACCCAGATGCATTTTCTAATTGGTGATGACATCACTGTGTTCCAGAATAAAGCATGAATCATCCTCCAGTGATGAAGAGCACTCGGCTGTCAAGCCATCAAACACAAGCCACCTCCCTCTTTTGTCTAACGTCAGCTACAAAAAGACTCTGCGGCTCACTTCGGAGCAGCTGGTGAGTTGTTCTCAGTGCAGCTGTGTCTCTTAAGTCCTCGCAGTCATGGTCAGGCTATTAGGAAAGTCAGGATGTTCCTCCTCCTTTGTGGTTCCCATTTCTCTCTGCTGGCATTTTGTATTCCCCAGCACTCCTGTGACCCTCTGGGGAACCTCACACCCCTTGTTTAGTAGTCCCTGTTTCTATCTCAACTTCATACATGTATAGACAGACTCAAAATGTTGCTTCACTTTTTATCTTCCTTGTTTTCTGACCAGCCGAAGGCCTCTTGATTGGGCTCATCTATCCCAAGTTGTCAATCACTGACAGACTTCTAAAAATCTCTCACGAGTGCTCTTGCTTTAAGAGAGATGTTTGTTAGCTCAAATGTGGCTCTTAAATTGATGGAAATCATCAGCTGTGATGGGCTTTAGAGAATTTCAGGCAGCAGGGGCTTCATCTGGTTGCACAGTGTGTGCATGTGAATTGTGTGTGGTGTTCGTACTGAGTGTGTGTGTGTGTGTGTGTGCACGGGTGTGTGTGCATATGTGCGTGTGTAAGACCACTTTTTAATCAGGCCCCTCACGTCCCTGGATCCTATTTCAAATCATGACCAGCCAGTGACAGGTAGCCCTGCTCTTTTGCACATAAGTCTTTCACATTTATCATGAGTTGGTGGGGAGCAGGCTTAGTTTTTATGGTGTTAATGGGGAAGGATAACAAACGGGTCCAGACGCCTGCTTTTAGCTACGCGTGGGGCCCTGTAGCCTGTGAGGTGCTGTGGTGGTGCCAGTCTTATCACTGGCAGCTCTGGGGACACTGAAGGTGAGCAGGGTGAGTCTGGGCAGCTAGTTGCTGTTGGTGCACCAGAGCTTTCCAGCAAAGAGTCTTAGAACTGCCAAAGATAGTTTTGCTTTCTGATTTTGGTGTCCTTTGAAGTGTAATCTATGACCTTGTGGATATGAGGGGTGACTGATAACTGAAGACATCTTTTCCCAATTTGTGCCAGTTCAGTAATCATTAAAAACATGGTTATTTGGGGAAAGATATTTTCATGCTTGGCTTAAATCTCTCCACATTAAGGCTCTTCACATTTTGTTGTGACGTGATGTGTTCTGTTTTGAAGTTGTGATTTGATTTTGGGCAGCACTGCGGTTTGACTTCAGGGCCTCCTGCTTGGTAGGCAGGTACTTCTAACACTTGAGCCACACCTCCAGTTCTGAAATTGTGATTTATTTTTTTATGTAAGCCCAACATTTAGCCTTGTCTAGTGATCCTCTTCCAGAAGTACTGGATCAGGTAGTATTATCCTTGGAAGAAGATGCTTTGTAGGAAGTGGGAAAGCTGCATAACCAGTGGCCCAGAGAGAACAGAGGTTTCATTTACCTGTCCAGCCCTGTAAAGAGCTAGAACAAGAAATGTGACAGGGAGAACTGCACAAGAGCCCAGAATGATGTTTCGTTTTTTAAAGCCTAAGTCTCACTTCTCATGGAACAGAAGCTAAAAATCCCCCAACGTGGGCCTGCTTCTCCAGTGGACAAATCATTTATGCTTTTCAGAAAAGCTTAAAGTTGAAGAATGGACCCAACGACGTGGTTTTCAGTGTGACCACACAGTACCAGGGCACCTGTCGCTGTGAAGGCACCATCTACCTGTGGAACTGGGATGATAAAGTCATCATTTCGGATATTGATGGAACCATCACCAGGTAGGTCTGACTTTAGTATGGAACCCTGGTTATGGAGGTGACCTCTGCCCTCCTCCTTGAGTGGCATGATAGGCCTTGGATGGTTTCTGGTACATTCAGAACTGCTCACATAAGGGCAGTCCCATGGCCTCTGTACCTGTCTTTGGGGCCTGGTGGCTGTTTCTGTCTGGGGTGTCAGCCCCCTATCCTGGTTGGTTGACCTTCCAGAACGTTAGTGCCTGCTTCTGGTGGTTTTGCAGCCCAGGCCTGGCCTCATATCAGGTGCCCTTTTGTGGCTCTCCATAGCTCTCCCAGAGTGTCTTCATTTGGTTCCTTTAGCCTTAGATTTCCTACTGAGAAAGTACTGGGTCCTGTTGGTATTTTTTTTTTGTCCCCTGAGTCAGGGACTCACTATGTACCCCAGGCTGGCCTTGAACTTGAGATCTTTCTGCCTCAGCCCCCTGAGTGCTGAGATCACTGGTGTGTGCCACTGAGCCCTTTTGTTTGTATTTTTTTATGAGGCATGAACAATGTGTGGATGGTCTTTTCCCCCCCTTGCAGTGACCGTTTTCTTTTCTTTTCTTACCCTTTGTTTAGATCAGATACTCTTGGCCACATTTTGCCCACACTTGGGAAGGATTGGACTCACCAGGGCATCGCTAAGCTGTACCATAAAGTGAGCCAGTAAGTACAGATTGCTTGGTCTTCATGTCCCCCATGTCCCATGCACCGAGGAGTCATGCCATGCTCTGCACATGGCTTCTTTCCTGCCAGGTACGGGGTGGCTTACAAGTAGGGGGCACCTTAAGTCCAGGAGGAGTACTGGGGGTAGGGAGAGACGGTTGAGCTTCCTGAGTGCAATGAATGCTAGTAATCCCAAACTTGAATTCAGTACCAAGCAACTAGAAAGAAAGTATAGGTGAGTCAAACATTGCTAGAAGAAAGAGGGGAGGAGTGTCAAAGATAACCAGCTAGCTGTGATTCAGTAAGCCTTTGTATGTAATGCTTGTAATGCATAATGTGTACATATTTAAACGAGGAGGCCACATGTTCTTAGGGAAGGATGGCTGTGATGCTGATTTCCAGAAGTTGCACTGGGTCAGAGGATGAGCATATGTGAGTGTAGGCGGTGTGTGCAGACCTGTCCAGCAGCTTCTCCCAAGGCTGGCCTTTCGTTTACAAGTGCTAATCTGCCCTGAGCTACTTCCACTTGTGCGACACTGAAAATCGCATCTATTTTTAGTTGAAGGAAAGAAACCCTCATGGGTCAGGATTCTGAGTAGTTCACAGTCTGATTCATTTTGATGTTTTGGAGCATAAATTACTCCTGTCCTTACTGTAACATTAAGAGAGCACATTCACATTTCTCTTTCTTTTTTTTAAGTCTTGATTTGTGTCTCTCTCTTGAATTTTCCCAGAAGAGATATCTTTTTGAAAAATAAAAGTTGTGCAGCTTTCTAAAGAAGAGGGGATCGTTCTTTTCTTTGATGAGTTTAGAAGTGGTGAGCTCTGTGGGTTAGGAGCTGAGGCTACTACTGGATACTTCATCATCATTCTGGTTGAGGGCAGCTGTCACGTGGCTTGGAGGTGTCCTGACATCTGTTTGCTCCTTGAGTTTGGTGTGTGTCATCGGCAGTAGTGAGTTAGGTCGTGTGACCTGCAGGTTGGTTCCCGGCTTCTGGAGCAGCCATATTGGCCTGCAGAGGCTGCATTCTTGGCCCCCACAGGACGAAGTACAAATTTGATGGGCTTTGGAAACCTGGGTCTTAGCCTTGTGCTAGCTGCTGCTTTTTTGCTATATCTCGGACCCTCCTGCTCTGATGCAGTCAGCTGTGCCCCCACCGAGAGCTCCTTGTCTACCCTTCAGCCTTTGTTCATGTGATGCCCTCTGCTTGGTCTGCTTTTACTGTGCACTTTTTGCCTCTCAACATTTTTTCAGCCTTTTATGCCCATCGTAAGTGCCACGGTCATCGTGAAACGTTCCCAGGCTAGGATCCATGGCCCTGGCCTGCTGTCTTCTCTCTGTCATCCCAGGCTTGCCAGCTCTCTATTGGTACCCAGGGACTTGGGCCTGGACTGTTAGTCTCAGTCTCACGTGGGGCATGGTGTAAGGCTTCCAGAGCTGGCTGCTGGCTAAAGTGCATTCCCATGTGGTGGAGTCATGTAAACCATGCCCTTGAAGGTCTCAGGCAGCCACAGCTGGGAGAAGAGGCAGGACCAAGAACTGACAAGGGCTGGTCACTCACTGTTCTAGTGAGTCTAAGCCATTCTTGTAGATTTGTATTGTGATTACCCAGAGAAATACATAGAGAAGTGGTCAGCAGGCTAGAGTACCGGGAACAAAATGGTCACTTAATTTATGATTTTGGGACTCATTATTCTTTCTTGACACTATTGCCTTGAGTTTGGGTACCAAATACTTAAATTTTTTGCTCCCTTGGGATACTGCTAGCCAAGTTATGCTCTGCTGTTGGGTTGTGTTGCTGAATTGCACAAGTCTGTGTGTACTGTGGCCGAGAAGTGCTTTTCTAAGCTGAGCCTCAGTCAGGACTCTGGGGATCTAGCTAGGCTGGTTGGAAACCTCTGTGCACTGGCGACGGTCTCAGGGAGGCTCTGGGTTGCACACCTGCTGTGCACCACGGACTATTCTAACATGGCGAGGATGCCGAGTAGGCTCTCTGTTCAAGGAGTTTGTCATTACATGGGAGGAAGTTTACTCCTATACTTCCTGAAAGGCGGCAAGAGCAGTTATACTGAGTGTTTTCTTCTTTTTTAGTATATAGTGAAGGAGACATGAATTCCACTTGGCTGGAGGTGTCACAGGTTTTATTGAGAAGGTGGTTGTTGAACTGAGTCTTCATGGGTGAGCAGGTTTTGAAGCAGAGAAAAGCTCCTTACTACAGACAGGAATGAGGGGAGAGTGGGGGATGGGCCAGTGCAGGCTGGAAAGGAGGCTCTGGTGGGGGGGCGGTGGGGGGCAAAAAGTGAATCAGAGAAGCAGAAGGGACCTGGAGCCCAGGCTAAGACCAAGCCTGCGTTTGACACAGTTTTCCTTTCTTAAGGTGGCAGTGATGGTCCATGGTCCTCAACAGAGGGACACATGGGATACATGGCAGTGTCTGGGGCACTTTTGATTGTCATGTCTGGCACATGCTCTAGGCACCTAGTGGGTGGAGGCCTGGGGTCCTGTAGGGACTGCCCATTTATCTGATTCAAGATGTGAATGTTGAAAAACTCTAACATTCCTTGTGCCTGGATTGTTGGTCTCAGCCCCCATTGTGAGGCCCAGGCCGGGCATGGCACTTGGGCTGGCCTGTAGGGCATGTCCTGCCTCTGGTTGCTTTCTGAGTGAGGGGTCTTAACCCAGGGACACTGTTGAGATTCATGTCACCTAAGTGTTGATGGCGTACTTGTTGGCATTTCAGACAGCTTTCACTGAGGCAGAGGAAAGCTCTGGAAGGGTGATTCCTGCTGCCACCAGCAAGCATTTGGCCCATTAGGCCCTCCCTGAGCTGATCTTCCAGCTAAGTTTAGGAATGGCCTTTGAAACAGGCCATGTGCCTGGTGACAACAGCTCAGCAGCGTGATCAAACTCTGAAATGGATTTGAAAAATCAAGTTTGAATAAAATTAGCATCTCAGACCCCTGCAGGTGGCAGCTTTGAGACTGATGTGAAGAGCTATACAAAGAAATGGTGATTTTTTAAAAAAGATTGCATTAATTAGCTAAAATACAAAGATGTTTAATTCAAAAGCCTACTTCATTTTCAGATGCAGTTCTCTATTCCAAACAAGCTGATATTTCAAGATTCTTTTTTGTCTTCAAACTTTCCTGTTTCTTGGTTTTAAAGAATGTATTATTGAACAATTCTAGAGACAAGTTTTTTGGCCATCATAAAATGTACATGGAGAACCATAAGTTGGGTAGAAAGTGGGTGTTTGTATTCAGTTGTTTAGCAAATATTTACTAAGTTAGCTACATGCAAGCACTGGGGTTGCAGAATGCGACAGGCTGACAGGCTGACAGAGGCTGTCCTCATGGAGTTTATGGAGTAAACAGAGATTGTCAAACGAGGGACTGTCACATAGTATTAGTGATAAGCACTATCAGGCAAACAAGGGGCTTGGGTCTGGGGAGATGAACGGGAGGTGGGTTTAATTACACAGGGTGGGATCAAGGGAAGGGGCCCCTGGGGAGGAGAGATTTGAGACCTATAGGAAGTGGGGGAGCGAGCAGTCTCTGAAGTTTGGAGAATAGCGTTCCGGGCCAATGCCCGGCGATGCCCAGTGAGCGCAGAGATGAGCACGGCGGGTTGCAGAAATGAGAACAGTGGTTTGCCAAGAGTGAGGGGCCAGATGGTCGGATGGGGATGGAGATGGATATGGAGCTGGAGAGAAGGGCAGTGACCAAGTCTTACTGGGCTGGTGGGCCTTGCAAAGAGTTTGGGTTATATCTGAGAGAGCTGGCAAGTCTTGGCGGAGGGGGTTGACTGCGAGTGGATTAAATTTTAAGTTTCCTTTGGGTACCATACAGAGATCTGATAGAAGCGGGGAGACGATTTGAGGTTATTGCAGATGCGGAGGTTGTAGAAGCGAAGACAGGGTGAAGCACTGCTGGGGTGGTACTGGGGATGGTTTGGGGCAAGTGTTGTATGCAGCAGGGAGGACCTGCTGATGGGGTTGGGGTGGGGTGGGGGTGGGATGGAAAAGTGGAAACCCAGGAAGTCTCTTCCTGCAGCCTTGAGAACTGATGGCCAGGATTTGGCAAGATGGGTGTTGGGGTGACCCCACAAGGCCAGCAGGGAAGGGAAGGCGCCTGCTTGGAGTGGGCAGGGAGAGGATGGAATGCAGAAGTGTGTCAGGGCCTGAGCACAGCTTCTGGAGAGAAGTTTGCCACAAAGGAGAGCAGAGGAGTGGAGTTCTATCTGAGAGAGAGGAAGAGGGTTTGGGACGTGTGTGGCTGCCTGTTTTGGCTCAGGTGTCTGTAGGAGAAGATGAGCAAGCTTATGGTGTACTTATGTGCTGATGGGAATTTTCCAGTGGAAAGTGAAGTTTGATGGTGTGGCTAGAGGGAGGCTCAGTGCTTCAGCAGGGTTTTGAGCCGGCAGATGACTGTGGCCTTGGTACTGTGGATGGGTGGCCTTTGCTGGGAGCAGGGGTATGGGGGCATGAGGGGCCAGGTGCAGGCAGGCTGGCCAGTTTGGTCCCCTGTGCACTCCAGTTTCCACAGCAGTAAGACCAGAGGAAAGCACCCACCCAGCCATGTTCTCCGGAGAACTAAACCAAGTGGGAAAATGGGAGAGTACTGCTTACATCCTAGGCTTTTAGGCTGATTTCTCAACTGATAATTCAATTTTATGGAATTCAGATTTTCATAGGTGGGGAGCTTGTAATCTGGCTAGTCTTCGTGAACCGAGATCAGGGTTTGGGAATGCCAGAAGATCCATCTCCTGGTGCCATTTCATGTGGACCTGTTGTCTTTTTCAGAAATGGATACAAGTTTCTCTACTGTTCTGCACGGGCCATCGGGATGGCAGACATGACGAGGGGCTACCTGCACTGGGTCAACGAGCGAGGCACGGTGCTGCCTCAGGGTCCACTGCTGCTCAGCCCCAGCAGTCTCTTCTCTGCCTTGCACAGGTACTGCCCACCCAGCCACTGCTCCCCACACCCGCCTTTGATCTTTGGGCCTGGTCAGCAATTTTTCTTCCTCACTGGAAGTTTTGCAAGAAAGCCTCTTCCCTGGCCTCTTCTTACAATGTCCATGCCTCATAGTGGGCACTAGACATGTCATTTAAGTGCAGGTCTAGCTTTGCCTCTCCTGTCAGCACAGTCCCTGGCTTGTCATGGCTCTTGGTTCAAGCTGGGGTTCATTAACTCACACAGATGGCTGTCTGTGACCTGCCACCACTCTCCCCTAGCAGAGTTTCTCATTTCTGCATCTCCCTCTGGCTGAACTGGCTCCATTTTCCAGACAGTACCCTAGATTGAGCCTTTGTGCATGCTGCTTTCTGGTTTGGGGAAGCTCTCCCTATGTCTCTGTCTGAGTGGCCTGGCTGAGTGTTAATGGCCGTTAGGGAAACAAGTTGTATTGCATCTCATCAGGGAACCTAGCCTGCTGAAGGGACCGCTCTACAAACTACCCTGTCTACCTGGCCCTGAACTCCCATGACACTTGTTGATCTTAGAGACACCGCATAATTTTAATTGTTGGTCCTCTAGGAGATCATTGACTAATTTTTGAACACTGCTTCCTTTCCCTTCTTTGCTGTATTGTAAGCAGCTAAGCCAGCTCTGGCCCAGGGAGGGCTGGGGACACTGGGCTTCCCTATAGTTTGACAAGGTGGTTCACCCCACTTCTCATTCATTAGACAGTGCATGACCAGAAAGAGCAGGTGCCCTCTGCTTTCTCAACTGCCAGGTGAGAAGCTTGGCTTGGATGATCTCCTGGGTCCTTTTTAGCTTTCAAATGCTGTGATTCTAGGCAGTATGTCTGAAAAAGAACTGGAGAGGCTCTGTTTCCCATGCTTGCTCTTTTGGTTTCTTTCCCACACCTACTCTTTTGCTCCCGTTAAGTGGAGGTTGGAGTTGAGTCATATGGTTGTTTTCCTGACCTGCCCATTGATGTTGTGGAGACAGAGCTACTTGGATCATTTTCATCAGCCCTCTATCCTGAGTGGAAATTGCTGGGGTATTGAGTGCTCAAATGCAGCTTTATTAGATCGTCCCAAACTGTTTTCCAAAGCATTTGAGCCAAGTTGTGCCCCTGCCTGCAGTTTCTAAGTGCTCTGTTTGCTTGGCTTTCTTGCCAGCAGAGGGTCAGACTCACTCTTTTGCTCGTCTGGTAGGTATGAAATGTCACTTTTCAGATGTTTATTGAAAGGTCTTGCTTTTCTCATTAGGTCTGTATTTTACCAGACACATAAGTATTTAGATAGAGTGAAGTAGGGTCCAACTAATTTTCTATTTTCATATGTAGATATTCATCTGTCCCAGAACTATTAATGAAAAGACTGCCCTTTTCCTGCTGTCCACGAATATGTGGTCATTTCTGGGTTCTGTGTTTTGTTCCACTGGCAGAGGGTTGGATAAAGTTGTCCAGTGCCACAGGGTCTCACCTGAGCTCCTCACCTTCCATTGTCAGGAGCTGGCCCCGTGTAGCTTTAAGAACCAAGATCCACAAAACACAAATCTGTTGTGATTTTGATTGAAATTGCAATGATCTGTACATCTATTTAGGAAGAATTAAGATCTCAGTATAATATTGAGATTTCCAGTTCTAGAATATGGTCTGTTTCTTCATTTTATTTGTGTCTTTTCTCATGTACTTCACTAACATTTTATAATTTGAGCCGTAATGCTCTGTTGCATCTTTGTTAGTATGTTTCTGGACATTTAATACTTAAAAATTAAACTTTTAAGTTAACTGCTGATGCAATTGCAACAGTTCTACCTGTTTCTGATGACTGGAAATTCATTGATTTTTTTTTTCTCTTTATATGTTGATTTATTTACCTCATTAAGTTTTTATTAATTCTGATAATTTATCTGAAATTTTTAATGTATTTTTGTGTGTGTGAATAAGGACAGCCCCCCCCATCTTTATTACTTTCATTTATTTTTCATGCATTATTGCTATGGACAGGACTGGGAGGTACAGCACTGATGATAGAACCATCAGTTCTTTACCATCAGCATCAACAGGGTGGGTTCAGTAGCTGTTTGAGTGTTCTCTTCTGTTGCTGGTGTAAGGTTTGCACCAGGATTAGAAGTTGAATTGTGACCGTGTGCTTTTTGTATCTGACATGATCATTTTCTCCTCTTAATCTGACAATGCATTATATTACAGTAATCAATTTTAAATATTAAATTATTCTTCTCTTCCTGCAATAACCCCAGCTCATATGTTGCCACACTTTGCATAAATAGATATTCTTGGAGATTTTGTCTTTGTGTTCATAAATGAGAATGCTTTGTGCCTACTTTTCTTTAGGTTTTGTGTTTCGAGGTTATACTGGCCTATAAAAGGAGTTTGGAGATGACCCCTCTCTTTTAGGCTCTGGAACACTTGCTCCTTCGACAACTGGGAGAACTCTTGGGTGAAATGGTTGTCCTTTGTGCTCTCTTTGTGTGGAGGCTGAAAGTCTGGTTCATTCTGTGTCCAGTTAGTGCTTTTCTGGGCTGGCTGGACTGACTTCACAGCTTTGACAATTAAAAGTAGCTTAATGCTAATGAAGCTAATCCATTATTTATTTGTTCATTTTAACAGAGAAGTAATTGAAAAGAAGCCAGAGAAGTTTAAAGTCCAGTGTTTGACAGACATCAAAAACCTGTTTTTCCCAAACACGGAACCCTTTTATGCTGCTTTTGGAAACCGGCCGGCCGTAAGTAACTCGATGGGGTCTTTCTGACAGCAGTCACCGGTAGGCCCTGGCCTACACTGCATGCAAAGCCTGTAAGGAATAGCCTGGTAAATGCCATATCCTGAGGCAGAGCTTAAAAATTACATCATGCCTGGCCTTTAGTTTTCTTTGAAGGTTAGCTGGTGAGTTTGAAGCTGCCAACAACAGGGGACTAGAAACTTCTAATTTCACATTACTTGTTAAATTAGTAAAACAAGGGCATTGTATAGCATTCCATCCTTCCTAGCAGAAGGTATGCACAAAGCCAGTCCTGACCACAGATGAATTCAACATTCAAGTTTGAAGAGTATAGCATTCTCATGGGGTGAAAAATGCTTTGAGATTTTGTGTAACGGCCCAAATTTACTGGAAAGTTCAATATTCTGGAGAATATAGTTGGATACTAATTGCCCAACCAGAAAAATTCTCCTACTTTGAAAACCATGATAGATTTTCACGAAATGAGAAAATGGGTCAGAGAATAACCTCGAGGAGTGTTAGACTTGCAGAGGACGTGGGAGGTTTAACTCGGTGCCTGAAGGGCCTGGGGGAGGGGGCTTCCCACATCATAGAGAGGTGCAGCTCTGGTTAGTGATTAATCCTGCGTTAAATCAGAGTTACCACGTGTTTGTTTTTACAGTGAACTGATTTTTCTGATCTTTTCGCAACATAGGACGTGTATTCCTACAAGCAAGTGGGAGTGTCTTTGAACAGGATCTTCACGGTCAACCCTAAAGGCGAGCTAGTGCAGGAGCACGCCAAGACCAACATCTCCTCGTGAGTCTCATCCCGCTTCCTGTGGGCCCTGGACCACTACACTGTCCTGAAGCAGGTCTCCACCAGCCGTGCAGACTCTTCAGTCGATTGCTGCTTGAGTTTTAATCTCTAATTCCTTAAAATGAGTAGTTTAACTTCTTGTATTTCATCCAAAACTTCATTTGTAGATGAGTATAATTAAGTTAGATCCCCTGTGAGTTTAAACTTTAAGCTAGAGTTGGAGTCTGCTATGGAAAGGAATTGAATGAATGACTTTGAAAGCTAGTGGCTTAGATTTGCCAAGTTAGGTTTGGAAGCCTGGGGCGTGAATTAGAAAATGTAACCAAATGGAACTGTGTGAAACTATATTTAAAGACAAGGAGTGAGCTATATATCTCGTCACATACTGAGTCTTTTCCTACTCCTGTGGGATTCCTTAAGAATCCCCCTCACATTTTTGGTCAAAGCTAAGTTTCTCTAAGTCAGTGGTCTAAGCTGGATTACTGTTGTCCTTTTCTTTTTTTTCCAGTGCTGGGGATTGAACCCAGGACTTTGCATGCTAGGCAAGCACTCTACCACTGAGCTACAGCTCCAACCCCTGCATTACTCCTGGTTTTTGTTTTGTTTTGATTTGAGGTACTGAGGCTTAAACTCAGGGCCCTACACCTTGAGCCACTCCACCAGCCCTTTTTGTGATAGGTTTTCTTTTTTGAGATAAGGTCCACAAATTACTTGTCTGAGCTGGCTTCAAGCTTCTCTACCTCCTGAGTAGCTAGGATTACAGGTGTGAGTCACCAGCATATCCTTGTCTTAAGACAGGGTCTGGCCGTGTAGCCCAGGCTGGCCTCCAACTCACAGTTCTCCTGGCTCCTTCTCCCAAGTGCTGGGATCTCTGTCTTGCAGGAGGCATCCTGGTGTCAGTGTGCTGCAGCATTGCTCTTGGCTCTGCTATGTCTCACTCTAGGTTCCTCTCTCCTTTGAATGGACAGCATTTACTTCTTCCATGTGCTGGGGAGCTTTGCCCATTGGGTGTGTCAGCTCAGGCAGACACAGGCACCCTGTCTTGCCCACTGCAGAAGCTGCACATCTTTTGGTCTGGTCTGTGCCCACCTGGAAAATAGCCTCTGGCTCATGTGACCCCCAGGAGCTGGGTAGAGCCCTCTTCATCTGGAGGGTTGGATTGGGGGAGTTGGTTCTAGTGGATTCCTACTGACCTTTGCTGGCTGGCTTTAGATGGATTACAGAGTTGACACATGAGCAGGTTTTTACTTTCAAGATGATACTTATTCCAGCTTGACTCAAATCCTGCTTACGTAGAGCAGTTCCAGGTTCTGGCTGTCCACGAGCCTCCTGCCCTCATGGTCAGGCCAGGTCCCGAGCAGTTCTCTAGGTGTGAGGAGCGGAGGGGAGGATGGAGTTGGGACTCTCCGTCCTTCACCAGGTCAGGTTGCTTCCTGGCAGAGCTGCTGCAGTCGCCGAAGCCTCTCTGAACCTTTTTTGTGTGTGAATTTCTTCTCTTCCCCTGCTCTTTTCTAAATGTCTGCCTGGACAATGTCATTGTCCTCTACCCCCTTATGCTAGAGCAGCACTTTCTCACAGGGAAGTGTTCCCTAGTTTGGAGAGGACATAGTGAATTTCCATTTAGTGTCAAAAGGAACTTTCCCCCAACGGTGCACTGCTCAGATGGAGGGATCTTGCTACTAAGAGGGCCTCTGAGGTCACCTCACTGCCTTCTATTGCTCTAGGCTTGTGCTTGACCTGAGGCTGGGCCCAGAGCAGGCTTTTGCCTGGGACCTTCTGGTCCTGTAAGAGAGAAACTCGCCATCCCCCACATTGCTCTGGCAGTGAATTTGGCACAGCCATTTCCAAGCCAAACAGGTCCTTGTCTCTTGGAACCTGGGAGAATCATCTGGAATGTCTGCAGATGCTGAGGCCACATGGGGGAAGGCATGAGCTCAGTGCCCTCTTCCCTCACAGTCACCCTGCTTGCTGCAGAGCAGGCGGGGGTGGGCTGTGTTTGGAGGGTCGAGAGGGCCACCCAGGTGGAGCTGGCCCTGGCACCAGAGCACGTGAGCCGCTTGGGTTTGGTTCTGGTGCCTGCTACAGCCTGGCGGGGAACAGCTCCCTGTGGGGAGGCCCTCCTCCCATAGCCACAAACCTCAGGCAAATGGGTCTTAAAGCCAGGAGGAACTTTAAAAATTTGTTTGTTTGTTTTAATCCCCAGGAAAGACATAATTTTTGGTTTTGTATTAAGAGAGATTTCTCCATTTTGTGCAAGCGCACTGTTTCTCATGAGTCCTTTGGAGGCTTTTTATTAAACACACACTCATCCTTATTTAATAAGTTATTTTATGCCTCGGAACATGCTAATTCCTGGAGTTTGGATTTCGAAAGCCGCTTTAAGTTCTCAGCGCGTTGCAAGTGGAAAGGGGCCCGGGGACTGTCCAGGAGTTTGGGGCTGTGTGGGAGAGGGCTGGGGCATGGCTGAGTCTCTGGATGGAGGTGCCCTGAGGTCTGAAGAGGCAGATTCAATGTAGCAGCTTGCTTTCTATAGCTCAGGCCATAGAAATGAATAGGCGACATCTTTGTGGCAACACTGAGGGGGAAGAGTGAAAACTCCTGCTCTAGTCCCACACTCTATGAAGATCAAGGGCTTGAGGCTCAGATACTTGCCTGAGGTTACACAGCAAGAAAGGTGGGTGTAGACCCCAGGCTTCCAGACCTGCATGCCAGCCGGGGACTTTTTGTTTCCCTGGAAGACATGTTCATGATTTGCTGGGGAATAAATTTTATCAAGTGCCCTTTTTCCATTATTTTATTGTGTGTACATTATTCTGTTTGATCCTGATATTGACACTGGAACAGTTTGATTTTCCTCCCTTTACAGTGGAGGAAATTGTGGCTTAGTTGGTTTAAGCCATTTGCCCAAGGTCACACAGCTCGGACGTGGTGGCACGACGACAAGTCGGTGTCTCCTTGGTTCCTATCTTTTCATCTTTTCATGGTATGATGTAGCAGTCTCTGTTAGAGGCGCCAGAGATGAGAGCTTTGTCTGTGGTTTCTCCCCACACACCCCACAAGTGGCCTCTGCAGTAGGTGACTGTCCCTTGGTCGTGCCGATTTCCCATTGTTCTTTGGGTTTGCTCTGCTCCCCTTCTGCACTTTGGGGAGGGTGGTGAAGAGCTCCATGACCTGAATTTGGGGTCTCTGAAGCGAACCTTTGTGCAAAGTCAGGTTCCTCCACCCCTCCCACCGAACCTTCTCTGCCTTTCTTACGCAGACTCTTTGTTCTCATCCTTCGTTCCGATTAATTAGTAAGACATTGCCTGCAGTGGCTCCAGTCGTGTTGAGTAGGTGGCCTGCTAGGTCTCTCCCTGCTCTGCAGTGCAGCCCTGGGTGCAGAGCCGTGCTCCTGGGGGCTGGTGCGGTTCGGTGGCGGTGATACTGCTGTCTGTTTTCCTTGCAGGTACGTGAGACTCTGTGAAGTGGTTGACCATGTCTTCCCTCTGCTGAAGAGAAGCCATTCCTCGGACTTCCCCTGTTCGGATACTTTCAGTAACTTCACCTTCTGGAGAGAGCCACTGCCACCTTTTGAAAACCAGGATGTTCATTCCGCCTCAGCCTGACATGTACACGTAGCTTCCTGGGTGGTGTGGGGGCCTGGGTGTCACCCATTAAAGGATAGGTGTGGGGACCCTGCAGTGGCTGTGGGAGTCTGATGTGCGGCCATTTGATTAGAAAGATTCGAGAAGCATTTCTCTCCTGCCCGGCCTGTCCTGTCCCGGAAGGTGACATTTCTGAGTGCAGTGTGGAGGGTGTGCCACCTTAGGCCACAACCCAGGCACATTCACAGCGCACACAGCACTCCTCACTTGTGACGTAACGCCTACAATGCTGCACGCGCAGCCTGCCCAACGGTTAGGTCTTGGTCGTGTGCAACATGGGACAGTGAGACCCAAGCTGAAAGGGGCTGTCTATGGGATGTCCTGCTGAGGACGGTGTCCACCGAGGAGTGCCAGTTGCTCACAGTCTGTGCATCTCCATGACAGCAGTTTTCATGCCACCTTCTGCACGTGGGAGTGAGGGCTGTGAAAGGGTCATGTGACCCAAATCTGAGGTCTTTGAAGGGAACTCAAACCTCACTAGGGCTGAGCTCTGGCCTTGTGGATGTTCCCTTGCAGTATTTGCTGACTAGTCTTATTTTTAGGTGATAAGTTCTTATTCCTTGGGTTAAAAAGACAGCCTGTGTAGCTGGCATATTTTTCGCCATTCTTTGTGGCTCAAGGCTAGACTATGCCTTAATGCGTCTGCTGCAGGCATCTTATTTAGAATGCGCTGTGCCTAGCTCTCAGTAACTTGGGCAGTGCCTTAAGTTAAAATGATAGTAAGTTTCCCCGAGGCAATGTTGGAGTCCGTTGGACACTCTGTTGGCATCCTTCCATCCAGCAAGGTGTTGCCAACCATGTTGGGTTTAAACAGTGCTTCTGCCAAATGACAGTGGTCTTTATTGGGAGCTCTTGAAAGTGGTTGACTTTAAGAAAATTGTTCAAGAAGTTAAATTATATTCCTTGTAGATATTATTTATTATTACTTTACTCTAATTGGGTTTCTGTTGTAAACATTCTAGCCATATTCTTTTGATTCCACCTGTCATTAATACATTAAAAAGTAAGTGTGCTAGACTATCCAAAGAGCCTTTTTCTGTATATCTGTACAGAAGATCTTCTTTTGGAAATTACAAGTAATGTATTTTTCTTAGTTTTTTTTTTTTCTCCACTCAAATTACAGGCTAGGGAAAAAAAGTAAGTAATTTAAGTTGATAGAAGGCGCTTCTTTTACTTCTTTGTAAAACTGACCTGTAGAGTGAACAATGTGAAAAATGAATTATTTTGGTAAAAGATTTTGCTTTACTTTTTGAAGCATTATTTTTTTAAAGAATGTTTTTCTCTAATGACGGAAACATTAGAGTCATAGGAAGCAAAAAATGGAACTGTGGAACGAAACATTACTCTTTCTGTGAAAGAAAATGCTGAGATGCTGCCTTTGTAGTCAGTGGGCTCTATCAGGGATGAACACCTCTGCTCTCTGCTGAGCAGTTCAGAGAGACAAATAGAGAAGGGCAGATGTCGCTGTCGTGGATAACAGGTTGACATAAAAACTTGGACAAGCATATGCAGATTCCCTTTTAGAGGCATTAAAAATAGTCCTGCTTAACCAGCTCCCCTGGGCTTGTTCACTAGTGACCTGTAGAGTCTGCGTTAATTCTTTAGCCACCAGGCTGTTTTTGAAGGGATTTTAACTGCTGTGAATGGAGTTCAAACCCATGGGCCTGCACAGGTCCCCACGGCTTCTCCCTTGCACTCAGGAGGAGATCGGGCTGTGGGAGTGTGTCCCTGTGCAGTCTGTCCTTCATCCATCTCTGCAGGTTACTCCCCAAGTGGAGTTAGGAGAGCATGCACCTTAGTACTCTTGATTTTGATGTAACTTCCACTTCACCCTGAAACAGCATGCTTCCACAAAATCACACTTTGAGCTCTGTCAAGTTCAGTGTGAGGCCTGGCCAGGCTGTAATAGTAACACCTGCTTTGCAGCTTCTGAAAGATTTGTATGTGGGCATTCGGGAGTTGGTTTACTTATGTATACACTGTAACCCAGAGACCCTGAGGTCACATGCTGTATTTGGACCACACATTTCAAAGTCGCCTATGGAAATGAATCACTCCCTAGTGACAAGTCTTCAGATGTTCATCACACACGATGAAGAAAACCAAGGTAGACTTGGTACACCGGAGAAAAATGGTGGTGCCCTCCAAAGAGTTCCCTTTCAGTCTTAGGTTCAGATCATCACTTGAAGTATGTTTTATTTACAGCATTTGATCTGTGTTGTACAATGGTGAACGTCACTGTAATACTTCACTGTGTTCTGCTGGATGCAAAGCTAGAAATGTTGTAATAAATGAAACAGATGAAAGACTTCTCTGCAAATCAGGCATGTGAATTATAAATAGTTTTTGATAAGTTATTAAGTTGCTGTTTTTCCAGTGGGCTGCATACACATTTTATTCTCTACTTGAAAGTAATTCTTAAGGCTGTGCACTGTTTCACTGTTTGGAATAAACACCTTTTCTGATGTTTTAGATTCAAATTGGTAATGCCAACCTTCTCTTGTCACTTGGGAGGGCGGGAGGGCTGAAGTAAGAGAAGAGAGAGCTGCCCCTGGCCTAGTGGGATGATTCAGTTTCAGGAAAATGTTGATCACGATGGTTCCCAGGTGATTCCCAGGTGGTTCCCAGGACCCAGCCCCTAACCAGCGTTTACCACCCGGGTTGCCTTGCCACGTATCCACTGCCCTCTTTGGGGTTTTTGACTTCTCTACCCCAGATTCATTTTTCATTTCAAACGAATCAAAGTCCTTGACTAGTTCAAAATTCCTACCAATGTGTACTAACACAGCTGAGGCTTCCATTGATTTGCATGTATTGGCCTTAGCATTTCTAGAAGAAATGGAAGGGTATTCGACCCTGAATGCTAAAAACAGAGCTATACAAGAACCAAGGCCGAATTCCTCACAAAACCCAAATCCATACAGTTGTCTCTGGGCATCTGTAAATTAATGCTGTGCATTTTACAAACAAAACAAGCCCTTATCATATTGAACGTGGTTACACATGCATCCCAGCTCTGATGGCAGTGTGTGGGCTCTGTTATCTATAAAATAAAAATCAGTAGAAACTTGTCTGCGGCCCTTCAATGCCCACACATTCTCTTTGCCCTTTGCACCCTTTGCACCCAGGGTCCCATTGCTGGCACCCTGGGCTCTGCAGTGTTCGTGGGGCTCTGTGGCAGCTTGCACACATGTGCAGAGAAACTTGGATCTTGCCGGTGCCTCAGCTGTAGCCACCTGGAAACTGGAAATCTGTCATAACTTGGATTTCAAACATCAACATTTGTATCAGAGGCTGGGTAACAGACAATTCGTCCTAGGACATCAGCTTTGGGCCACAAAGTGCCCTTTCCAAGAAAGGCAATGCATGCAGCCCTACCACAATCCTGGAACAAAATTGTTTGTCTTCAAGAGCTGTGCCTCACCACCCCTCATCTGCCTCCCCTTGCCCGTATGTATTTTGTACTCGGTCTCCAGACAGTGGGTGCACCAGCAGTCTCCATCTGTGCCTTGAACTAGGAGAACGTGGTGAGGCCACCAGGATTTTGCCTTGTAGCTTTTAAACCCTTTAAAATCCTGTGGCCTCAAAGGTGGCAATCTGTGTCACTTGTGTTGTAAGCCAGGCAGGGGGCTTGGTCCAGGTAGAAACCAGGCTATGCCCAGACAGAAGCTGACTCTAAAAGTCAGTGGAACCCACTGACCACCTGGGGGCACAATCGGTTTTGGTTTGGCAGGACAGCCTTGAGCAACACGGTCTCTGCTGTGACAAAGGCCCCTCCCTGTAGTGCTGGACTTGGAGACCAGCCAGGTTATGGCTTGGATGTGTGAGGGGAGAGAGGAGTTCCTGAGGAGACTGTTTTTGTACCAAAGTCCTGAGTCCAAAATCACTAACTGCTTTGAAGGGAGAGCTGTCTGTGCTGTTTGATTAGGTCCAAAATCCATGTTGGTTTGTGGTTCTCCAAGCATCGTCTCTGGCTGTAGCACCCACCAGGAAGCTCTTTTAAAGAAATGCAAATTCTTGGGCCCTTGTCCTAGACCTACGATCCAATTTAGGAAGTCTTTTGGGGAGATTTTGATGTCCTTTGGTTGAGACATACATTTTAGGTGATGCAGGCCAGGCCTTGTCTTGTTGGATCCCTGCAGCTTACGTTTGACTTTCCTATGGCCAAGCTGGAGAATGCTAAGTGCCCAGGGCTCACACAACCTTTCTGTCAGGGAGGCCCCTGGAAAGAGCATCTTTCTTCGGTCACTGTGCTGGAAAGGAGTTTAGAAACGTGGCCCAGATGCGCTCTCGAGTCACAGGGTGTCGTGAGCCCATGACACATGATACCCAACCTGAGCTCCCTTCCCTGGGTATTTAGATCTGAGCTGCAGCACTGGGAGTGATCACAGGCCAGGCAGCTGGGGTGGTGGGGGCCCAGGGGCCAGAGCAGTTGACTGTGCCCAGATTTCTAATGGTCCCCTCCTCCATTAGAAATGATGGGAGCCTCGAGGTGCCTGTCCTGATGCCAGGGCTCTTTCCCCTGGTGCAGGAAGTCCATTCAGCCTGCATTGCTTTTAATGAGTTTTGCAAGCAAGTGACCTCTTCCTGTGACTCACTCTGTCTTTTGTGCACCGGAGGTTGTGGTTTGAAGTTTCACTTTGGAAAGTAACCACCACTTCGGTCGCTTTCTCTGCTGCTGGAACCCGAACAAGTCACATTCATTTTGCAACAAAGAAATGTAAATGTAGGAACAGCCAGTCATATTTCTGCCCCAATTGTAAAAACATCCTTTTCCGAGATGGTTGACAGAGCCAAGCTGAGAAGAAATGGTTTATATTTTCAAGTAACACGTTCCTTTGAGGGCTTCATATTTTTTTCCTTCCTTAGTAGCTTGGTAGTTTCGCTTTTGTTCTTTGTCTTTTTGATTCCTATTTTGGGGTTATCCTAAAAATATACACAGTGTTTGTTGATTGGGTGAGATGGTTTAACCTCTAGTTATTGAAAGAGACTTAACTTGGGAAGTAAGTGTGGGCTTTTGCTTTCAGGAAGTACACAAAAAGTAACCATGGGGAGAATTTATTGTGGACCTGCCCTGGAAAGGTGAATTTCTTAGGGTAGGTGGTATGTGTTAAGTGGACAATGGTACATAACATTTTTTTTTTCAATTTAAATAGAGTCATCTTCAAAATGTTACACCGTTGAACTAAATTATTTTTATATAGTTCTTTTAAAAGTATGCACAAGCTTAAAACAGTAGGTGTTCTGCAATTATGGAGTCAAAATACATTTAAAATTAAATGCAGGTAAAACCTTAGCACTAATAGAGTTCCAGTGAACACCAACACCAGCGTGGTGGGAAAAGCTGAAGCGCTGAAGCTTGTGAATAATGCTGGCTTTGGATTTATAACTGATGCATTTGTGTTGGATGTTTCATCTGTCGACTCAATTCTTTCAACTTTTGAGCACGATGGACCATTGTTGAAATCATCATTGTTGTTAACACTGACTTCTACAAGATGCCATAATGAAAAGTTCTTATTTCCTATTTACATCTACATTGGCTGCTAATGAATGTTGCAGATTCTCACACTGATGATGGGTCCCCCTCCATCAGTCATCTTGGAGGACTAATGTAGCATGGACTTAAATATGTGGCACTTTTTTTTAAAGACAGGGTCTTGCTATGTAGCCAGGCTGGCTTTGAACTCATGATGCTTCTGCCTTGGCCTCTTGAGTGCTGGATATATGGAGAGTTCAGCAGGGACTACGCTACCCACATATTGTCCTGATTGCCTCTTTGCTAAGTGCCATAGACCCTTGGTTTGAACTTCCATGGTCACTCTTAATTAAACCATCACCATTGGGTTTGAATGACATCCCTCCCTCTCTCCAGGACTGACAGTTGGATGGGACAAAAGGGGGCCAAACAGGACCCATATATCTGCCTAGTACCCAAAGTCTTGGGTTCCCTGGCAAATGGTACTAGAGGTAGCTTTGGGGCTTTTAAATATCTTCTTCTTTGCCTCTCTGACTCCAGGAAGGTGAGGGGCTTCCTGAGTTGTCTTAAAACTAATAGCAAAGCAGCCAACAGTGCTGGCACTTGGGAATGAATGACAGTTTTTGTGCCCAGTGATCCTGCACTCTGATCATGCAGGCGAAGGCTTAGCACTCCCACCTGGTGAAGAGCTGCTGCTTCCAAAGGTGGGAGGGAGCAGCTGCTCACAAACTGTACACCTGTTGACACCTGTTAATAAGGTGGAGGGTCCAACAGGCTAAAGGAGGCAGGTGGGCAATTCTAGTTCTCAAGAGCCAATGTTATTTTAAAACTTCTCATTATGCTTTTGTTTGCTTTGGGAGCCCTCTGGTGGATGGTCAGATGACTTGGGGGGCCTGGGAGGGAGGCAGTTTTCTCTGGGGGACAGGAGAACCTGGCCTGGTTACCTGTCATTGCCACAGGCACCTCCTGTTGCAGAAACTGTATGCAGGGTAGCGGAGCAGCCTCAATCCTGAAGCTCTGTCCTGATTCTCTACGTCCCTGGAGACGAGGTAGAGTAAGGATCTTAGCATGAGACCTTGAGATGAATGCATCCATTTCACTGCGCATCCCTGTGACACCTCCCACCCTTGGGACCAGGATGATGAGAAAGCTCCAGACTCTGAGGATAGAGGTGGGGTGGGGGTTAGGGACTTCTGCTTAGGACCCGGCTGCAGCCTCATCTTCCCTGTGGTCTCTTTCAAAAGGTCCAGTGAAGCTCTCTGTGCTATGGAAACTAAGTTATGGCATAACAGCAAGTTCGATTATCATCACTGTCCCCAAGTCATTTTTTAAGCATTTACTCCATTTTATTGAGGAATCTTCTGGAAACGGAAACTCAGACTTGTCGAGCTCCTCCTTAAATAAAGACCGAGAGAGCTAGAAGCCAGATTCTCAAATCCAGCATGATGTCTGGATTATCTGGCCCTGTCCTACCGTTTCCAGAAGCTGAGCTCTGTGCTCACCAAGAGTGACAGTCTGTGGTCACTGGGATGACGGAGGTGAAGCCGGCAGTGTCAGAGTGATGGCCACACTGGGTGCTCACTGCAGGAGCACATCCCTCCTGGCTGAGCTGGTGACAAGGAGGGGACATGGAGAGGGAACAGGCTGTGAGAAAGACTAGAAGCAGCTTCTACATATTACTCAGGGTTGAATCATTGTGCACACCACAGTGCATTTGCTTTTTAAAATGCTGCTTGAAAAATTGCTTCTTGAGCAATGGGGTGAGCACTTCCTGTTTTGACCAAGAACAAATGCAAACCAGACCCTGCTCCTCTCATTGAGCAGAGCTTACCCTTTCAGTTCAGCAATGTCTGAAAGCACCCAATTGTGCTGGGGTAGGGGATGGAGCCCCTGCAGCTGAAGCTTCTGTCACATACGCCATCTCCTGGCAGAGCTGGAAACTTTGCCAGGCGACCATGAAACCAGCCCATTGGAGACAGCAGAGCATGAGCTGAGGCAGGAGGGGCACATTGTGT